GCCTCGGGAATCCTTGAACAGGAGGTGCAAGATCTCCACAGCCTGCTCTGAGGGAAAACCGCTGCACTGAGTCATTTCAGCTTGGCCAAGACCTCACAACCACCTGGAACAACTCCTGGCATTTGCAGTGTCCCCTGGCATTTGCAACATCAGGCTCCTGGACCCTTAGGAGGGCAGCACACACCAACACAACCCTTCCAAGCAAAGCTGCTGCCATTGTGAGTTCTAAGTTTTTCACTAGAGGTGGAAATGCAGAACGGCTTCTGCCTCACACAGCCTGACACAGAAACTGTGGTGGCTGCTGCTGAGCACCATGTTTGCGTGGTGGGTTGATACTCCTGTCCAACCAGCCCACTGACCACCACCATGGTCAACGTAAGAAAGTCTGCACATCTCCAGCTTGCATTACCTTCTTTGCAGGTTGGCCCCATCCACATGGCTGGGCATACACAGTTCCCGTTGTATGGATTGCACTGGGATTTGCTGGCACACTGGCATCGCAGGGAGCAGTCGGGGCCATACTGGTCTGACCTGCAATCTGGAGGTACAGAAGTGTTTGGAAGAGGGTGAACGCTCCCTAGTAGTATCCCCGTTCTCTGGGATCAGGAAGCTGCTTAGACACCTACATCTGTTAACATTAAAACATGACATTTTGGAAAGCCTTGCAATCCTCAAGTTTTGTCTACCGCATGGTCCGCCCAAACTGTAGCCCAGCTGTCCTAAAGAAGTTCCCAGAATGGAAATCATTACTGGTGTAAAACCAGGGGTTGACAGCCCAACAGAAAAGATCTTGGGATTTGCTCAGGAAAGTTACTGTCAGCATCCTGGATCCACACTATCTCCTGCAGCTCTCCACTGCGCAGCTTGGCTGTCAGCGTGTGCCAGCAAAGAGCCTTCAAAGAATGTGAAATTGAAAATTAATCCACTTCATATATACTCTTATATCTTACTCCGATTCTACAATTCTGCTGCCTCCTGGCAAATTAATCTCACAAAACATCTCACTCCCAAATACAAATACATTTCATACCTAGGCTGATAAATTCTCACTGTGATTTTTTTATGCAGTCAGAGTAAAGGCATGAAGGAAAAGTTAGCAGCAAGTCACAAGGCAGGGTGCTAAATACACTGTAAACAATAGCCCTCTCTCCCTCACCTCGCTAGAAAATACTGTAAATAATCAAAGCGCTCACTTTCTCACACAGGCACCATTAGGTAAATAAAAGCACTGCTGAGCCCTGCATCAGCTGCAGCCCCAACATGGGGGAGAACTCTCCCCGGCGCTCAGAGCTTGGCCTTTTCAATTAGGAAATGTTATGAGAAAAGGTCTCCTCGAACACCTCTGGACCTGATTTTAATTTATGTAATACCACATTTTCATGTTAATAACAATGTGTATTTAAGACATCTGTTTGAAAGTCTGCAATGTTAATTTACTACAGAAAAAGAGTGCCCATAAAAGTCTGTTACATTCTCTCTTTTTTTTTTTTTTTTTTAATTAACATTTTGCCTGTTTAATGGGTGCTTTACCAGAGTTCAAATTAAAATCAGGCCTTTTATCTTTATGGCTGCTGCACAGTCACAGCTGCTCACAGTTATATCACAGATGAACTGAGCCTAATTGAAAATAAAAATGCAAATAAAACCTACCCCATAACAGCTTTTCATGGATGGGGGCTACCCTAGCTGATTTAAGAAAAATAAAAATGACTCCTAGAGTTTGCAAGAAGCAAAACCTCAGTTCACATTTTTGGTGCTGAGCTTCCCCCTTGTGTTCTACTACTGCCTAAAATTTCGCTGGAAAGGCCTCCGGATGCCCAGTGCCGTGCTGGCTGTGGGGGTGGCTGGTGTCTCCCGTCAGATCAGTCCCTGCATACCGGGTGGCTTCAATTTCTGACCACAGGACAGTGTGGAGAGGGAAGCAAATAATTTTCGATTTTTGTTTTGCAGGTTGCACTAGCATTTAAGCTCCCAGCAATTACTTTGCATTAATAACAGTCTGTTTAAAGCCGTTTCCTGCCCTATCCTAGAACAAAAAGAGAAATAATATTCCCCCACTGTGATTCTGGGGCTCAGGACTATTATGGTTTCTGGTGTGAACCTCCAGTATCAGCACATGGACGTTCACTCCTTTTATCTTGTTTGCCACAATGTTGGGATCACAAATCTCTTCTTACACTTGTTTAAACCCATGCAATTCCTTTTACTCCAGTGATTACCCTAAATTTCTTCTGGCCTAACTGCAGTCGGAGTCTGGCTCAAGAACCTGGCCTGCAATTGCTGCCTCTCAGTCCTGCAACCAGCTCATCAGGGTACAGCAGTGGGATTGGTTTTCCCTACAGGAGAATTTTCTCACCTATTTTTATACCCTTGTTACAAAATAATTCTGCTCTCATGGGCCAACCATTTCCCAAGCACACAGCCCAAGTGCCTGTGCTGCAAATGAGGGAATTTTATTTGGATTAAATGTTCCTGGACTACTGCTGAACCCCAGAGGCAGGCATAGCTGCTGCAGTTCCGCTATCTTCATCTGCAGGGATTCCACCCTGCTTCCTGGGGAAGCAGACCTGGAGCTGGATATACTTTTGCATTGGTCTGAAAAGGGTCACAAACGTCCGTGTGACAAAAAACACGGCAATCGGATCCTTTTGTGCCCATTTGCACCCTCTGGAGTCTTCCCAACTATGTCTGTAAAACTGTGGGCTTCTTGGTATATTCTTCACCAGTGCACATTCTCCAAAACTCAAGGCAAATGACATTTTACAGCTGACCCATAAACAGTTTTCCTATCGGTGTGTCAATTTAAATATGGATTAAATCAAGAGGTACAGCCTGTTGATAAAGCTGTTGATAACCCGTAAGAGTAATTTGCTACAAACAATGTGTTCCTGAATACCGGCAAACGTCCTTTCACAGTTACACTTAGACCAACAGGTCATATTGGTTTAACTATACATAGTCCAGCCCTTAGAAAATATTACCCTTACCAATGTCACATTTGTCTCCAGTCTTCCCAGGTGGGCAAAGGCACTTCCCAGTCTCTGGATCACAAGGAGCTCCTCCACAGTTGCACCGGCGCCGGCACCTCTCTCCAAACCAGCCCCTGTCACAGCCTGACAGCAAGAGCACTTTTTTAGATGCACATTTGAACAGCAAGACACATATTAGGCCAGAGTTTTTCCAGGATGTCTCAGAGGAAAGCTCATGAAGTCTCCACTGAAGCTAGTGTAAATGCCAAGTTTAATGAAGAATTGAACACAGCGGAATAGGAATAATATTTATGTGAACTCTCTTTATGTTGGGTTTGTCTAATCTAACCTATCAAAGGTATCTGTAAATCTGCCCCAGAAATATAACTAGCACTTACTTTCATTTTTAATTAGAACTATCTCTAGAAGACCATTCCATAACACTCAACAGGTCTGACATGCACCTATTTAATAATCTTATTTGGAGTATTAGAAGCAAATTTTAAATCAGTAAAAAGAACTTATATTTAATAAACAACATGTGGAACTCATTGCTGCAAGACATCATGGAGAGCAGGACTTTCATCGTATTAATTGGAACCAGATTAGTTAATTTATAAGGAAATGAGAACACCCAGCTACATAACAGGTAAACAATCCCAAATCTAGTGTTTCAGGATATTCATAAAGCTCAAAATATGGAAGAAGTTGGTCTCAACAAACAAACATTTGAGTAATGACATGGGGTTTTTTGAGTTTTATTTTGGTTTTTTGTTTGTTTGTTTTTCTTTTACATCAGAGGGGTACAAGTACCTTTCTCACAGTAGACACCTTGATAACCCAAAGGACAAATGCACTGTCCTGTCACTGCATCGCAGCTCGCTCCATTTTTACAGGCACATGCATGAAGACAGCTTAGCCCATAAAATCCAAGGGGACACCCTGAAAAATGAAAGTATCAAATGAGGAAGGTTTATGAAGAAAAACATTCAGCCGTTTAAAATCCTCTGTATTCTCAGCTACATTCCCTGGGAACTAACAAAAATTATGTTTACCATTAGAAGACCCACATCCCATTACTGTTGGAAAACAGAGCACCCGGGCTGCCCAGGGTGCCTCCACTTACTGTGCTCACAGGAGTGGCCGTAGTAACCCTCGGGGCATTGGCAGTAGCCCGTGAACCTGTCGCAGGTGCCGTTGTGCTGACACGAGCAGTCCAAGCTGCAGCCAGACCCGTACTTCCCTGGGAGACATTCTGCTGGCAGAACATGGACAGGAAAAACAGACAAACAAACAAACAAACAAACAAATCACTGACCTCACCCAGAAAAGCTCTTATATGATTGTTTGTATAGCTGAGACATGATGCCCATACAATAACTTGCAGACCCGAGGAGAACGTTTGTTATGAAGACACAGCATTTCTGCACAACTATGATACATTTACATATTTCAGTGAGAAATCTATTATATAGATGTTTAAACAGCAATTTCCTTGTACTTTTTATAGTCTCCCTTTTTTAATTTGTCTCTTTATGTAGTCAATGTTGAACCCGCACCATATGTTGTAAAGCCACGTAGTAAATGGTATAAATGGTATCTTCTTTTTTTTTTCCCTGTATCTACAGCAATATTTTCTTTTAGGCACTTAGAAAGTGTGAAAGAAAACACATAGCTTTTCCTCCTCTGTGTTATCATTGGAGTTCACACTATTCCAATTCCTAATAAAACCAGGAGGATCTTTTTCACACATAGCAACAGACTTTCCATGTATAATGAGGTATCTGCTTTTACAGAACTAAACACGTCTCAAATTACTGAAAGCCAAGTCACACAAAAGTGACCATACCAATATAATTAACCTAGGCATCATTGCTGCATAAGTTAACTTCCCACTGCTGTGATAATTTGAATCTGGGCAGACCAACTTAAATAAGCATGGCCGTCCAAATAATCAGATTCATAACTCTGCAAATGTCAGACAAGATCTTTCAGGAACATCATATCTAATCACTGGAAAAAGGATGCCTGATTAGCTGTTTTTGATTTCCAGTCAAAACACACTCAAAACCACACTGCTGTGGAAATCAAGACTCAAAGTTCCAATAACTTGGCTATCTCTGTCAAAAGATAAACAGTGAAGCTCTTTCTAGTGATACAATACACAGTTCTTTATGTGCTGTGTGCATGTCTACCCCCGTGCTTGACACCAGAGATATTTTATCTAAGCACATCTGTAAGATACACCCATGATCCACCACTGCACATGGTGACACCTGCATGACCCTACTGAGGCTTTGCAACCCAAACGCAGCCTATGGGTGGTCTCAGAGATTTCAAGGAACAGACAAATAGAGATGAACGCAGGTGGCCTATGCAACATGAAGTTAGCCAGTTATCAGTAAACTGCACCTTTTTAGGGGGGGTTATTTTAGTGCCTGCCCACAGTGGTATTCACATTGTGAGTGGCTCCATGTAGTTAGCATCTTTCCTTTTCTCCCTGCTCCTTCTCTGCACACGTGTGCATGAAGCAGATCTCTGAGTCTTCTCAGATGCAAAGTGAAACAATTGCATTGAAGAATTCTGCTAGAAAGTGTCACTTCTATATGACACTTTTATAAAGGGACACTCCCCTATAAAGACCAGTTCTTGGTAAAGATACGTATGGAGTTTGAGGTGGATATTCTGCAGATGTCAGGGACAGAAAGGCTGTAAATGAGGGCCCAGAAGCGTGTTGGGAAGATTGCACCGTGGTAGTTATGATGTGACAATGACATTTGTCTTGAATGTGATCTCAGAACTATTTATTTGACATCATACTAGTAAACTCATGGTTTCCTGAACATTTAAGTCCGTAACTATATGGGTATCTTTCATCTGGAGAGAGAAATGGGAACACAGAAATGCAGAATGACTTTTGGGAGATGGACAGAAAGACGTAGAAAAACTCCTCTGGGCTGGCAGGAGGGTTTCTGGAGTGAAAACTGATCTCAGTGTGCTTTATCTTGTGTAAGGGTGAGCTGTCATGGAGAAGAGTAAGGACGAAATAGCAAGACAATCTCAATTGCTTTGGACAGATGTTGTCAAAATTGTACTAGCAGGGAAGTCAATACATGGGAAGTTCAACTGCAGTCCAATGTCAAAGCGAAGAGAAAAACAAGAGAGAACATAACAAGAGAGGAGGGAGATGTGGGCTGCTCACCTCAGAGGAGAACACGAAAGAAGATACAAAACAACGTACCCATGAACAAAAGAACACAAAAGTTGGATGGGAGAAGACATAAGAGACCATGCAAAGGAATTTATGAGAATTACAGAGCAGGACTCACGAGGAAACTGTCTCTGAAAAAAAGACCTAAAGCTCTAACTAGGTGCAGTTCTGCGTGAGAGAACCTACAGAGACGAATGCAGCTGGGAGAGAGTCTACTTAAGCAAAACCTGTCCCCTTTTGTGGGTCTGTAGGCACTGCAAACCCCTGCTTGAACGTACATGTTCACTATCATCAAAGCAGAAAATTACCTTTCTCACACCATCTTCCTGTCCAGCCGAGCCCACAAGTGCAGTTGCCATCCACGTGGTCACAGATACCACCATTCTGACAGGTACATGTCAGGTGGCAGTTGGGGCCATATCGTCCCTGGGGACACACTACAGAGAATTAACAAAGTTTGGAAAAAAAAAAAAATTAGCATCCCAAAAAAGGATGAAGGTGACAGGGAATAAATACTAACACATGCTTCCCACAGAGTATCCCAAGTGCCTGGTGTCTCCCAAGAGCTGTGGGACACTCTACTCCATGCTTATGAAACACTGGAACAGGTTGCCCAGAGAGGTGGTGGATGCCCCATCCCTGGAAACGTTCAAGGTCAGGTTGGACGGGGCTCTAAGCAAGCTGATCTAGTTGAAGATGTCTCTGCTCATTGCAGGGGGGTTGGAATAGATGACCTTTAAAGGTTCCTTCCAACCCAAACCATTCTATGATTCTTATTAGCAGTTTCATCCAAACACTCTCTGCCATATCTCATCGCTTGGCTTCACTCCACATTTGCTCCTCTTGCTCTCCTCCCTTTGTCCCATCTCTCAACTTCTCTTCAGCAAATCCTCTCTCTTCACTTCTTCAGTTCAAGTAATTTACTTCTGAATTTAGTCCCATCCATCCACAGCACCCTCACACTGCTCATGTTGTGTGGTACAAACTACCCTTTTTCCCATCTTTATGTTCTGTTTGGACTGCAGTCTCTGAAAACAGTGACTTTAGCTTTATGGAGAAACCAGTGAATGGTACCAAGTGTGGTGGAGCAAAGCAGTGAGGCGCGGGCAGGAGACGGGGATAGGATAAAGGCAGGGTGATGCAGCGGAGAGGGACAGGGGCCGAGTACAGCAAACTGAAATGTTATCAAGCAAAGGCATTGGGAAACACAGCCATAAACAATGTTTGTCGCTAAGTTTTATTTGCTGTTTTTTTTAAGTATGTGCCCAACTGACGAGATGACCTTGGGTCCCGCTTTGTTACCTTGCTGACAGCTGGGTCCCATTTGGCCGGGAGGACAGGTACACTTGCCAGTCTGTGGGTCACACTGACCTTTACCACATGCACAGAACAGGGTGCAGTCCTTCCCATATCGGTTTTCAGGGCAAGCTGAAGGAAACACAGTCTTTTGTTAAACACCCTGGGTATCCAATGCCAGTTTTCATTTTTAACATAGGCAGGATCCTATAGGTAGAGTTGGCTTCATTTTTATTCCAGCTAATGTGCTTCAAAGCAACAACTATGAAACCAAAACCCATTCAAATGACTGCTTCTTCCTCTGAAACTTTACTTGAGGTTATAAATATAATCCATGGTTTCACATGGAACATTTAGTAGGTTTCCAACCAAAAAGGTGAGTGTACAGCTGAAATATCTGCTGCTCATCCTTCCAGCTAAAGATGTCTTTCCTTCCTTAATATTGATGCTGTCCTATGCTGAAGAACAAAGCTATAGGCTACTAAACATTAAAGCATTACCTTTCTGTGAATAAACTGAAGAGAACTTCATAGAGATCTTAACTTTGGAAATAGCACAGGAATTCAGCCACACAATTTAGCTCAGAAATAGAAAAGTAAGAGTAGGGTTGCCATGGAGCCTTTACCAGTTTTGCCATGACAAAACTTGATCTTTTTCTCATTTATTGAAACTAATGGCACCATAGTGTGAAGCAAAATATGGAGATAATTTCTCAACCTAGAAATTTTGGACAGGAAGAAGGAACTTGAGCAATTCATGCTGAGCTGGCTCTAGAAATACATTTGGGCAAGCAGGTTGTAATCCTGGGATGAGTGTCCTTGCTTCTGTGCATGCAGAAGAGAGGGAAAATATTTTGCAAGAGATTTTTTACAAAGCTGGAATCCTGATTTACTATTCAAGGAGGAGGTAGCTGAGATCTGTCTGTTTTTCTACTGTCAAGCTCTTAATGCAGATTATTCTCTCTGCTGTTTTTTGAAAGAAGCAGAACGTGAATGTTGGCGTACTTTTACTACAGTCGGCTCCAATGAAACCAGGCGCGCAATCACAAGTTCCCGACGCAGGGTCGCAATGGCCTCCATTCATGCATTTACAGGGTTTTTGGCAGTTTGAACCATAAGTACCTTTTGGACACCCTGTTTTGAAAGAACAAAACAGCAATTAGGCTATGTTGCTACTGGGCCCATTGCATTTCATGTCATAAGCACTTTGTTGCTTTCAACCAGAATTAGATTTCCATTTTCTAACTCTATTCACTTCTAGAGGGCCAGGAGCAGGCATTGACAAACAGATGGTTGCCTCGGGCAATGCACTCCTTGGGGCAGCAAGGCAGCGCTGACTTGCAGTGTCAAACCCCTGGAGAGCCGGACCGACTGCTGCTGCTGAGCCTGCTCCTCCCATTCCTCATACGTGTCGGTAGCAAGAAAAGCAAGCCCAGTTCTTCAGAGGTTTTCTTCCTGGATTTCTATTCCAAATCAACCTGTCCCCCCTTTCCCACCCATGGCAGAGATGGAGAGATGGGGCCTTGATCCCTCTTCCTTTGGGCAGCAACAGCCTGGTTTGACTGTGAAGGTGAGAAGCCGTGAGCTATCTCTGCCCCTTTTAGCGGTTGTTTTAACTGACCAGTTACAGATAGTGGGGCAGGTCTCATCTTTTAAAAATGTTTAAGTTGAAGAAAGTTTGTTTCCTCTATAATCCACTCTTTCACGTCAAACTGGAGTTTGCATTGCTCTCACAAATCTAGTGGGCTGTGGATGGAAGACGTGACAGTATCATGAAATTTCAGGAGACACCTTCTCAGAAGATAGATACAGGAGAGAGACACTTTAAATGCAAAGCCAGAAAATTCCCTACGGAAAAAAAAAAGCAGCTGTATTTTGTAATAATCAGAAGAAACATTAGACCTGGATGGACTGTTGAGCCAGTGTTACATGGCAACGAGCTGTTCATGAAAAGGTTTTCCAGGTGGTAGCAAGTATTTCTGGTTTCTTTTTGGACAGCTGATGTTCAAAGAGCACTGAATACAAGATCAGGAAGACATGAAAGCATCTGCCATGCTTAGCTCATGTCTTCAAGATACTCTTTAGAGTGATGGAGGCTGGAACTGAGGAAAAGAGCTGGGCAGAGCTGCTAGGCACGTGCCTTTGTCTGTCAGGGTTGCCTCCAGCGTGCCACACTGAACTCTGGAGATGCAGGTTATTCTCCCAATTTTCCAGTGTATTGGAAGAGGGAGAAGCTGGTGCTTTTAGAGCAACATGATCATCATTCAACAGTTACACTAGTGCTACTGCCTCTACGTGTCATTTCTTTGCTCCTTCCTTCCTTCCCTTCCCCCGGCAAAAGGAAAGCCTATGGCTACTTTGGAAATGTAGTCGAATATATGTTTGCACCCCTCTCCAAGCAACAGATCTCTTGCAATCTGTGCGTAAAAAACTTTATGTATTTTCTCTCTTTTCTGAAGGCATGAAAGCATGGTCTGAGTGGCTGGAGAAATCTCTGGATTTTTTGTACTATTCAATAGAGAGGGAGAGCTTATGGTGAAGCTTTAGAGGGATGCCTTTTAAAATAAAACTGAAAATTGGCTTCTGCTCAAATCAGGATAGCAGATCATCAGGACTAAACAGATACACACTTTTATAACATGCAGATAATCTCCCCAGCCCTTCTCAACCATGGCTTCTTCTCAATGAATACTTTGTCATCAGTGCTTCCATCTGTCAGTACAGAAACTCTGTTTTATGTGCAAACCCTGGCATCAAGGAGTGAGCCCTGCAACATCTATTTAATTTCCACCAAGACATGAAGTTAAGGACACACCCAGATTCAGTGATTTAATTGGATTCTAAGTGAGTTTCTTTTTTCCTTCTCCCTTTCCTTTCGTTCATCATTTGGCTTTTCTCTTTTTTAATTGTTTCCCACAGTCCCAAACATGCTGCTTCTCCCTGGCAAAGCTTTCAGAGTTGTTCCTCTGCTCAAGACTAACAAGAGCTGTTCCATTACTGAAAGGGATGCAGTAATTCCTCCCTTGCCAGTTTATTTACCCTTGCAGCATTTTATTTATTTCGGTTCAACAGGGAGCAGCACAAGCAGGGCAAACACATCAGCTGCAACATTCATGTGATTATTAACAAGGCCACCTCATCTGTTACTGCTTTGCAGGAGAACTTCTATGCAGATAGCTAGGGCAATTTACATGGTGTCCTGCCATTTAAGTAGGCTCTGCCTTTATAAAGAGGGTTAGCCTCTAACCACCAGTTATCTCATAAAGACATTTTCTAATTTAACAGTTTCCTGTGCATCTGACATGTTTTTTCTGAGAACGGCAGGAGCCGCAGCCAGATTTCTAACTCATATCCTGATTCTTTTCCTTCTGGTTTGGGTGGGTTTGCCATGACCAAGAGCTCCTAAATCTTTTCATACCAACTGCATACAGTAGGGCTTTTCTTACCAATGTTATTAATTGCATTGTCAAAAAATCACTTCTGAAACATCCTGTTACCTACAGCTTGAACGTGAAGCTGGTGAGGTCTTTCTGGCTCAGGGTTCACCCAGCCCAGTAAATGTCAGAGACATAGCATGGGGTTTTTTTATCCATTACAACACCACTTACTGCTTTTTATTCATAACTTCACTCAAGTAGATCTGCCCATCCACCGAGTTATGGACAATTGATGGGAACCTTATTGCTAGTTTGTCTGCTTCCTCTGGATTCTGCCAAGAGACTGTTTCAGCACTTCACTCCAAAATCTGAGAACATGAAAGCCTCGTTGCTCTTGGCTCCTGGAAATTTGACTTCCCAGCCAACTACACCTTTTATAGATACTTTCTTGAACCTTTTTTCACAGTACTATAAATATAGCAATAGTTGCCAGAAACCGTTTCCAGCAGCATCCAACCACATGTTGACTGGACTGAAGCCCATTTCACGTCCTTGGGAGCGCCTCCCTATGCTGTTTTTAATATTATATCGAAAGCTTCTTCGTCCTGGAGCAGCCCCAGTTCTCCCTGTAGTGAGGACAGCAGGAACATGGAGTATTCCCACCAAAGTCACACTGGTTATCAGACAGTCACTTCAGAATCAGGTCCACAATCTCTCACTCCACTGACGTAAACCTAAAAATAAGTCACACTTAAACTGTTTTCCTTCCATTTTTGTGTCTGTCTATGCAATGGTCAGGGTGGCATAGGGGAGAACAGGAACAGGAAAAAAACCCCACATAGATGCAAGACAAATTTTCTCTCTCTGTGAACCTCCACCATTCCATTATCTCTCCAGTAAACGTTTAACAGAACTGTATTTATTAAGTGAGAATTTGCTGTGCAAGATATTGTGTATTTTTGGAATCTAAGAGAACACAACGTCACGAATGATCACGTCTCATATGCTATAGGTTTAATCCTAGCTACACAGGAGCCCATGGCAAAATCCCCTCTGAATGCAACGAAACACAGATTTCATTTTGGAAGTAATTTCTTTTATATCAGAACTTCAGTGTAATTATTAATGTTTTAAATTTTAAAATTCTGAAATAAAATCTTAAGGATCCAAGCAAGCTCAAGGACATTTACTATCATCTATAGAGATTTAGTACTATACACACAGGTAATGACTACTGAAAGATTGATACATAAAAATAATAGGCTAACCATGATTAAGTCCTTTAAAACGATAATGTTAAATACTTGATCTCCACTACTGCTCTACTATAATATTTATTATGATCTAATGTATAATGGATCCAGATGGCTCTAGCCTAGATGTTGAAGGCAGGATTTCAATCTCACTTACAGTGAGAACTGATGTACAAAGAAGGACAGAATCAATCCTTACATTTACATTTTAAAGAATAACTTGTGATGACATGATGGTAATACAAATGCCCATCTCTAAAATGAGCCTCTTTCCTATTTCTATTCGAGAAATAAAGCACAGGTTTAACCCTTACTAGAGCCACACATATTGCAGCTGGCTTTTGTATCCAAATTGTCACCCAAAAAAGCAAGCAAACCAAACAGAGCCACGCTGGATTCCTAGGAAAGGAAAATCAGTGTTTGCCAAAGAGAAAGCTTTTTTTTTTTTTTTAAAATGAGACTATTACAAAGCATGGAGTAAAAACAAAATTAAAGTTGTAAATAAAAAGGTAATTAACTGTCTCCTTTTTTGGATACTTTGGTATACGTTTCTTACCCACATTCCACCAGAAACAACTTTACAGATGTACTAAAATACCGGCATGAGGCATGTGGATCTGGGAATATTTTTTACGATGGACCATTCGGCCAATTGGCATTTGGTCCTCTACACTAGTCACCACTTTTCAATCCAGAGTAACAATTTGTTTAATTTGATTGTTCCTCAGAAGGTCCTACAACTTAAGCAACTTTATGAATCACTTAGATTTATTGCTAATTGAAGCTTGTTGTTTTCCAATAACCACTTGTCCTTACATAAGCATGCAGAGATTTTGGGAAGTATTTTGGCCTAGGTATTTGGAAATGAAAGAGCTACACAATATCCAGGTGTAGCTGAAGATGAGAGGTGTAAATGTAGAGAATGATATTGATATTCTTCAGCGTGGCATGAAATTGGAAAGAATTTAGCTAGTAAATGAGTCTGTTGGGGTTTTTTTAATTAATTTTAAAAATATATATTTTTTTTAATTAATCCCTTGCAATAACACAGGTATTTTTATTATTGTAAATTAACCTAACCTATGCTTACTTTATCTCAGTCAACGCTGAAGGTACTGACACAGATGAACTCAAAGCACCAGCACATGCTTCTGCATAACTTGGTCCTCGCTCAGAAAGCAGGCAGCCCACAAAGATACTCACGGAGGTTGCAGTGGGTCCCATAGTAGCCCGGGCGGCACGCACAGTGGCCAGTCACCGGGTGACATTCCTCATTCTCAGCAGAGCACTGACATACTCGGTTACAGTTCTTACCATACGTGCCCGGTGGACAAGCTTGGGGAAGAGGAAATGTAAACCAATAAATTAAATTTGTCTTGGTAAATATAGCACTCGAACAAAGAGCAAGCTCAAATTTATTAAATAAAATCCCTGCCTACAGAACGACGCTCTCCTCCGGGACTTTGGATTTATTACATTTACTTGGGGGTTACTTCATTGCTTGATTTTGTTTTGTTCAGTCAATTTGTGCCCAACTGTCAAGGGCCAGATACAATTTTCTTGTCACTAGAGAAAATCATAGGGAAATGTCAGGTAAAATTGACTAAAATAACAGTATAATTCACGAGGGACCAGGCATGTGGATAAAGACATTCTACCTTTTGCAGGGAGTTTAAACTTGCAAAGCTGCTGCAGCACCAACACCTTTACAGGTTTCATTTTGCCTGTTGATGGCCACATTGCCTACAGGTTTTGGACTTTTCACTTCTAGTTCTTACAACTCACTTCCATTAAGTTGACCTGGTTGTGGGTCAGGACTTAGAGTCCTTTAGTGGAGGATATGGGACACCAATGTAAATTCTTTTAATTCTTTTTATTGTTGTTTTTCTTTTTGCTAAAGCAGTGCTCAGGCAAAACGTTGTAAGGAAGAACAAAGTCAAAACTATGCAGCTGGGGTCACAGAATGAGCCTGCTTTCAAAGACAGCTCCAGACGGCCAAATTCAACATCGAAGAAAAACCAGATAATGACATTTCCATGAGCTCTGACAGCGGGAATAGATGGTCTCTCACGGGAAAAAGGCCAACAGAAAGCAGAGCTGCTGCTTTACCCACGGCACAGCAACGGCTGCGGGCAGGAGCCGGGCTCCACTGGCACCTCCTGTCTATTTTGATCCAGTTCAGTCCCCGGCTGCTCCCTGCCAGCCTGAGAACTGCAAACCTAGAGAGGGCAAACCTCGCCAGCCCAAACCGCACCAGGCACAGAGGTCAGAACCCACCAAACCATTTGGGTGAGTGACACACAGCCCTTGTTCATCTTCACTGCCATGAGGTTGTTGCCTCCTCCCTCTTCAGGCATTGATTATATCATCAGGTTTTTATTTAAGAAATTAATTTCTTAATTAATCTACAAGAAAGTATTTGCATTCTTATAACAAACTTACTTTTCTCACAGCCGTAGCCGGTGAATCCTGGAGGACAGCTGCACTTGCCTGTCAGGTGATGGCAGGGGGTACCCGCGGGACACCGGCACCGCTGGGCACAGCCTGCGCCGTAGTGGCCGGACAAACAAGCTGCAATGGTGCAACCAATTCTCGTTAGGGCATGGGGCAGGGGCCAGGCAGGACGGTGCAAAGCTACCCCCTCCGACAGATCTGCTGCAACCATCCCCGTGAACACTTCCAGACCGACCCCACAGAGCAACACAGGAGTGAAAGGATCCCGTCATCTGCTCTGGATCCAGGAGGAACGTACACACCAACCTGAACCTTCCTCCGTAAACGCCCACCAGACACTCACGTTTGTCACAGTGCCTCCCTCGCCATCCCTTTTCACAGTGACACACTCCGGTTTGATGGTGGCAGGACAAGCCATGTACACAGTCACATTGCTCCTCACATCGCTTGCCAAAAAATCCCAGGGCGCAGACTGCAAGGAGAAGTAGAGAGAGCAACAGTCCTTCCTGCTGCATGGAAAACATCCGTCATTGGCAAATGAACCAATATTGTTCTTCTTGCACGTGGCGATGTATATTTAGAAGACTGCATGCCCACAAAATATCATTGAAAGAGATTAGAAATATTAAAAGCATTTAGTGTTGGCTATTAATGAGTCCACACATGAAAGCTTGCAAAGACTTAGTCATAGTCTAGACTACAAATCCAGATGGTGTCTACAGAGATGGTGATGCTATTCACTTTTACACAATTATGCATAGACAGAGGGACAGCTGTTTGAACAGTGAAAATACACTGCGTCCATGTACTGCTTTCCACCTCACAGGTCTCTGCAAAGCGATCAAAGAGAAAGTGAGGCCTGAAGAAAAGGACAGTGGGCACTGCGAAGGCTTTACAGGTCACACTGGTGGCTGAGGCTTTGAGAGTCCTCAGCAGCTCAGGAGACATCAGAAAATTGCTTGTGGCTTGCAAAAGTCACAGCATGTCAGTGGCTGAGCTGAAGGCACATTTCAAGTCATCTGATACCTAACTGCTTATGAGATTTCTATTTCAGGGATTTACATGGATCTAAATATGCCAGACAGCTATGTCAAATCTGGGCAATCTGGACCGCATGCAAGGTAGGTACAATCTGAACCATTACAGTCCAATTTGCTGAGCTCCCCTCAATGACCCACAGAGATGCAGCAGCATGTGGCTGATCTGGCAAACTCTCCTTACAACTCACTCCCTTTCGTATGTTCTTCCTTGTACCCGAAAGGTAGAGAAATACCTTCATTTTCTTAGCAGGCAGGGAACAGAAGTAGGAGGAGATAAAATGATTTGGACAAGGGCATGTATTTGTGGTTGCGCAGAGACCTGCCCCCAGGGCTCCCGAGACACACGGTAAGCACTCACACTGGCATTACTTCCTATTGGCCTACAGAATAATGGAAAATTAAGATACAAAATAGAGACAGACTTCTTATTGTGGAGAAAGAAATGGCTGATTGCAGAAGAGACTATTAAAATATAGCATTGGCAGAAGGAACTGCCCTTACCAACATCACAGCGGTCCCCAGTCCAGCCAGTGCGGCAGATGCATTTCCCTGAGTGCTGGTCACAAACCCCATGGTGGCAGCTACAGTTCTGCTCACAGCCCTCTCCGTACCTCCCGTCCCCACACTCTGAAACGAGATGGAGGAGACTGACAGGGAGCCAGTTTGGAGGGGCTCCAGGGAGAACGCACATCTCTGAAATATGATGAGACACCTAAGCTGGTCCTAAAAACCTTCAGGGAGGGAGATTTTGAAGCCTCCCTTGGTAAAATTCTCTAGGAACACATCGTTTTCCTTTTGGAGGATTTCTTTTATTATTTTTTTCTCCTCAAATTGAGTTCATTATCTATATTCCCTGTCCCCAAGGGACAGAGAATAGCTTATTCCTCTCCTTTGTCCAGCAAGTTTCTAGTGCCATGGTACATTCAAGTGCCAATACTGTATCTCCCCTCAGCCTTCTCACCTCTGACTAAACAACCCCAACTTTTCCAACCTCTCCACACACGGTGTTCTCCAGCCGTCTGCCCCTCCACTCTCTTTTTTCTGGGCTGTCTCAAACCAGACCTCACCAGAAGTTAATTTCCTCGCAGAGTGACTGAAATGCGGCATGATGGAGGATGTGATGAGACTCACCCAGCTCACATGCTATCCCTGTCCAACCCTCGGGACACCGGCACTTGCCCGTCACATGGTCACACATCGCCTGGCCGTGGCAAATGCAGCGCTGTAGACAGTTTGCACCATACCATCCAGGAGGACAGGCTGCAAAGAGGAGGTAGGACAAAAGTCTTCCATTAAGAAGAGCAGGAGGAGGACACAGGTTAAACACAACCTTTCCCAGCTTACACTCCCTCTCGCCCTGGTGATTGTGGAGATGCTGTGAAAGGTACAACTGAGTAAAAATGGGCCCACAACTGATAAGGAATTACACAGACCAGTGTAAAACTTGTCTGGGAACAAAATAGGTGACAAAGTGAATTAGCTATGACCCATCAAATGACCTCAAAATTTTCTGTTCGCACCTACAAAAAACATCTCTTGGTTCCTACAGTGTTGATTTCCCTGTTTTCAGAATTTCTTTGTACAGTCCTGTTAAAATCGCAACTCCTTTTCTAATTAATCTTGCTACCCACAGCTGACTGATTACATTTCACAGTTTACCTAATTTTAATTAAGCAAGTTTATTAATTCCCATCACAACCAGATCCTATAAATAGAACCCAAATTTTTGGCACAAAAAATACACACCTCTGTCATGTGCCAGAGTGGCACCTTTTTAAGATGCTAACAGTAGCAAGTTCTCACTCTGCAAAAGCACCATCACCAGAGAATGGCTTACCCAACCTCACACACTTATGCTACTTCTTTACTTTCAAAGAGAAAAGAAATCCCCAAACGTATCACTAAAGAAAAAGGGTATGTTTGACAATGTCTTCATACTTGACAACAGCTTTTTTAACTTTGGTTTTGTATTTGAGGCCTTCATGCAAACCAGAAAATTTTAGGTTGCGCCACACATGTCATCAAGAACGGTTTGGTGTCTTCCCAATTTTTTATTCCTTCATGGAAAGAGCTCTTCGAATTAGGTTTTAAAGGGCGACCCACTTAATTTATATATTCCTCTACCCCTGCCAGCTTTCACCCCCTTTCCCTAACCGTCCTCTCGGTATGCTGAAGGGCAGCTGCTGCTTGTGTGGAGGTGCTGACTCCAAACCCCAGCTCACCCAGGAGCATCCCCAGCAGCATCCCCAGCTCCGTGGCACTGCTTACAGAGCCAGGTACTTTGCGGGGGAGGCATAGATAAAGGACCCTTCTGCAACAGGGATGGACAGACTTTTTCTAGCGGCGTGGGTGCGGGGGATTAGGAGGTGAAACATAAGCCTCAGTGCAGCCTTTCTTTGCCAGCCTCTTTTCTTAAGGCTCCTTGGAGTTGGGCTTGTGTTTGAGTCACATGTATTGGTCTAATTGCCAAGGCTGGAAGTCCCAATGCCTTTCACATGTTCTGGATTTAGCCTATGTCTGGAACAGTGTACGGTAATGACGAGGATCAGTTGGGCGCACAGGATGGTGAAGCAGGCCATAGAAAAACAGTTTTGTTTCAGTGTCATAAATGGAACTTTTATGGACCTTTCCTCCCTTAATCAGACAGCCTTCAAAACCAGCTCTCTTTCCAGTTTATGACTCTGTTTCAGCCCCCTCTGCCCTTGTACACCCAGCTCCTACACCCGGCCCCTGCAATGCAGCATCACAGATTTTTTTAATGGACTGAGCCGCGTTATTGTGCGGATACAAAACCAATGACACACAGGGCAATGAGCTGATAATTAAAATACCAATGAAGCCCCCTGAGCAGAAGTTTTATTTTTCCACCCTATAATCCTCTGGCAGGGGTTTGAATTTCCAACTGTACCTTCTTGGCAGGTGGCTCCTTTCCACCCTGGGCTACAAAGGCATGTCCCAGTTACGTGATGACAGAGCGCTCCGTTGTGACAGTGACAAGCGTGGCTGCAGCCTGGCCCATAGCTGTCCTGCTGGCAGGCTGCAATGAGAGAAGTCCGTAAAACCCCATCAGGAAGCATCAAAGGAGGCATTGCACAGAGCAAACCTGAGACACAAACCAGCGCCAGGGAAATCAGTTTGAAATTGGCTTCCGACCACACACTTTTCACATCATAAGGGTGCCTAAGTCCGTATATTAACCATGCCCGACACTAAATAATGTGGCTTAAAAATATGTATCATAGCACGTTCTGAAGAGGTTTTTATCGAAGGGCAGGATCGCTCGGGTGATGGATCAGCTGTCATCCCCTGCCCTGCGGAATGTCTTTGTGCTAAACTAATGGTCCAGCAGAACTGCCAGCTTGACAGCCCAGGTATTTATTTGCATCCTGGTAAGAGAACTGACAACTTCATTGTTTTCAGTGTTCATTTTTCACAGCTGGATGCCTTCGCTCACCCAGAGTCTCATTCTTTGGTCAGAGAGGGGTGATATTTTCAACGCATTTGGTTAAGCAGCTGGCTCCCAGGTGAAAACTTAACACCGCCATCTCGCAAACGTACAGTTGCTGCAGCTCCATTTTCAGTGCTGCTGCCTATGAAAAATGGCAGCGATAAAATTCCTGTAGTCTCCATTGCACTGGAGATTTGGATAGCTTGAAGTGGTAGAAAACAGACAGTACTGCTACCCTGATTTCTTCAGATACCACCCAAAAAATACAAAATGAGTTGATGAAGTTGGATAGCCTCCTTGCACGGTTTTTGTGCCTGCCTTGCAGAGGCTCTCCTTCACTTGTATGAAGCTGTCAGAGCCTCTCATCCCTGCAGCACTGCTGGCACACATCGGAGGGGCAAAAAAGGCTCTGATCCCTGATCCAGAAGTGTCCTGCACTTGCTGAATGTGACATCTCCCAGGATCAGACCCAAATGACGACTTTTCACCAAAACCTCTATGCTTTTGAGGGTGTCAGTGTGCAGAACAAGATGCAGTGCTGCAGGAGGACACGTCCCTGGGGACCAAAGAGAGGAGTGAAACCATCCCAACCTCAGGGGTGAACTTGGTTGACAGTATCTGACCCATTCTCAGCCCTTTTTTCCCATCTGAGGACTTCCAGTTTCCCAACGCGGTTCTCACAGACGCCATTTCTCCCAGGACTTTAACAGTGTTCATTTTTGTCATTGCCTGGACCCCATCCACATTGAAACCACAAGAAAGTGCAGGAGCTCAGTCCCATCACAGTTAAAAGTTTGTTCTGCAAATGAGGCTTGGTTGCCAAGTTAAAGGTTCAGCCCATTCTACAGAGCTCTGGCTCAGTTTTGGGAGCAGACTAATTATTTCCACAATACAGACCAGAACTATATCATAACCAAGCCAAAGGAAAAACCAGCTCATAAGCAGGCACCCTGACTGGTTACTAGTGGTTCATGTGAAGTTTTTGGAGTATGCATGCAAAGCTCTTGTTATGCTTACCGAGAAGACAAAAGAGTTTTCCAGTGAAAATTCTGATAAGAAAGCAGAAATTTTTGGAGAAGAAAATTTTTATTATTCTATTGGGTGGATACAAACTTTTTTTAGCTTCTCTGTAGGGCAATCCTGATTATCAAAGTACTTTTCTGAAGAATAAGATAACAAGCGATATATTGAAGCTATTTTCTGAAGTTCCACAACTGAATGTATAAATAACCATGGGACTTTCCTCCTTTCTTCATGATAGTGCAAAGGAAAGAAGCAATAGAAAGGTTTACATTATTAGACTTCTTCCTGCTTCAAAATTTTCCTCTCAGTGCCTTTCCTCTGTAAAAGGAGGGATTATTCATTTGCAGTCTTTAAAATCTCTTTTTGCACACAGAGTAAGGAAAACGTGAAACTGGAGACCAAAACATTCAGACTGGAAGTCAACAGCCATCAAAAGCATCAGGGAGCGCAGGGAAACGATGGCTGCTAAGACTCAATAGGGTGCCCAGAAGCTTTGATTTCATGCAGCTCCTGTGCACTATTCTCCCCAAAATGAAGTTTCAGCTTTAAAAGAACAGGGAATTTGCAAAATCAAGTGCTCACACACGATAAAATGTCAAACCCTGGGTTACCTGTGCCCCTGAGTAGAGACTCTGGCAGAGCTGATCTTTCCAAACTCATTTATTTTGCAAACCAGTGTGGTCTCTTTTTACCACAAAGAACCGCTTCTGTGAAGATCCTGCTGAGCCCAAACAGCTCCAGAAAGAGGCGTTTTTAGTACTAATAGAATCAGGGCAAAATGCAGATGCTGAACGGTGTCCAGCTTCTACAGTCCATACACAACATGAGATTTTTTTTTGTGTGTGTTTTTGTTGTTGTTGTTTGTTTGTTTTTGGAAACTGCAAAATTTGGACGAGTTTGTATACAGAAAGGAGGGTTACATCTCTGGCACAAACAGATGCCAAATATCAAGTCCTCACTTCTATATCGCTGAGGCATCGTGACACTCAACAAAACAGTTTAATTTATTTTAAACATAGGCAATACACCTCTCCTAAACCTCTTTCTTGGAAACGTAAAATATCTTAGGCAGACACTCAAAAAGACCACCCCAAAATAAAAAAAAAATCACCAAACACAACCCTAAGCCGAGGCAGAGCTTGCTTGGCAGATTTCATCCCAGATTAATATAATTCATTTACAAGCAATTGAAAAACACAGTCTTGTAATGAAAAGTGTTAGGCAGCTTCAACAAAAGGTATTACTGTCCGTATCGCCCATAATTAGATAGCAGTGTATAAAAGGTACTGCATGGCCGGCTTAAGATCAATTCAAATCCCATGATGTCAAAATTATTCCTCAATATCCTCCAGCACATTGCCTGCAATCTGATTACTTGAACACGAGTGCTGTCCTACCAGCTGCTAGAGCTGGTGAGTCCCAGGAACCAGCAAGGGGAATATTAAACACCCAACAAGGATGGGGAGTGGTGAGCTGATGCCTCTGAGCCATGGTTGCCTTACTCTGAGCAGCTTTGAAGCTATGTGGCCGAGGTCCCGTCTCAAAATCAAAATGAAGATTCATCGTTTAGCCAAGAGAAAAGGAGGTTACCCTTTGCATCGTTAACTGACCCTGCTCTTTTACTTACAGGCAAAGGAGACCTCAGAGGCTTTGGCATCTTCACCAGCATGAGGAATAAATCAATCCGGCACTGTGGCTCAAGGGAATACATAGGTTCTTTTCTCATGTGAGTAGAGGGGGGCACAGAAGGTCGTTGACAGAGAGCTGCATTTCTTAATTGAATTTAATGAAATATGTAGGAACAAAGCTTCCCATCCCTAATGCAGTCTAAGGAGCGGGGAAGGGCCAAGGTGACACATTGCTAATGCCATGGCTCAACTGAAGGGCAGTAAAAGTGGGCTGTGACCGAGAAGCAAACATCGTACCTGTTCAGCAGCACCTTTTCTGCTCTGTGGTATGGCTATATGGCTCTGGCTCTGCATTTATTTCATGGTCAGCTCATTAACCTACACCACCATCTTCAAGCGGTGGGAGACAGAAAGCCAAGCGTTCCTATGGGGGGCCACAAGGAGGCAAAAAGGACTGCAACTGTGGGATATTTGCAGAAATATCTAAAAAATGGAAAGATTCACCAGCATTGATCCTCCTGTAAATCAAAAGAGCAGGGGATTTTGCAGGAGACGCCCTTTCAGAAGACAGGCTGTGTCGTGTGGTGGGGGCAAATGAGGGAAAAATATGATGAGCAAGCACAGCTCTCAAACAGGGCTGATTATAACATGATGTATGGTTGGAGAATAGAACTATTTCAATACAAGTATCATTTCTCTCTATTTTCTAAATTAAACCAATTTTCTATTGCAGAAATCTGCAACCTGTGGATTAAAGAAGTCTTACGAAAGCGTCCACTAACAATGAAAGTTGGCTCCTTGTGGAGCTGGTTTGGACCCCGGCTCTACAACACAGTCCTGCAGATGGCAGTCATATTTTCAAAAGGAGGTACAGACCATGACATCATCCTAAAGTGAAACTAGAAAGTTGAGAGGCTAAAACCTGAAAATCTTAAAAAAAAAAATCCCATATTTGCTAAACTTTGCAAATAGGCTCAGTGATCTCCATATGTAATGTCATGTAGCTAAAGAAAATAATTTAGTTTCTCATGAAATTTAGTGAACGATTTCTCAGAAAAGCCAATTTTATATATGCATACACACAAACATATAAAAAAACCTTATTAGCTTAAAGATTGTGGGATAATCCATACTTGTGTAAATCTAGGAAGTTGACTTTTTTTAAGACAAATAACTTTTCTAAGAATTAGTTAAAAAACTATTTTGTCATGCTCAAATAACAAAATAGTCCCAGCTCTGATTTTTCCACTGTCACTTCATAATTGATAATTAGATGAGATACACCAGAAACAGAGATACAACATTTCATCTCTTAATGTTGCACAAAAACAAAAAGCAGAGATTTGTCATATGGTAGGAGACAGCTCTGCTATTTAAAAACTGATGCTTATAATGTTTGACAAATGCCAACAGCAGTTAAAAAAAATGAAGTTGATTATTTACACAACTACCAAAAATTGTTCCCTTTTTTGGCATCTTTGGAAAGGAATGTGACCTATCTAAAATTGTACCCTGGTAGGTCATCCTACATTCCCAGAAGAAACTCATGTTAGTGCTGAAAGAGTTTGTGAACAGGGATGGTGAGGGTAGCCTGTACGTACGCTGCTCGCAGGTCTCTCCCAGCCAGCCGGGGAGGCAGCGGCATGTTCCCAGGACATGGTCGCAGCCAGCAGCATTCTTGCACTTGCACACCTGGTGGCAGTCAAGCCCAAAGAATCCATCTGGACAAGCTGAAAATGCAAAACATCCTTTTTTAGTCAAGTTGCTGCTGCTTTTTTGTATAAACTCTAGCTTAGAGATCTGAAAACATGGGGCGCTGCTCATCTTTTCATGGATGCTTTGTCACACGTCACTGACTACACTTAAGAGCCAAAGTTGCTTCAAGGATTAAGCCTGCACAATTCTGCTATGTGCATCTCAGACAAACATGACCCACTTTACACAAGCAACAGATTCCTGCATAGAAAAACACAGCTGAGAATATATTGAAAAGCCAGAAACAGGAGAGAGAATAGATCTGGATTCACACAAGCCAGTACTTGTGCTTCTGTAATGGCTAGAGGAAAAAAAAAGGAAATAATTCAACATAATGCAAGACTATGGGGCCATCCCTGATTATCTCCCTGTCTTTTGAAATGCAAAACTTATGCTCCCATTTACTCTCCTGACACCTTTCTAAAGATTTTTTTAACAGTGAATATAAGCCATAGTGTTGTAGTTCAGTGCTGAAATGAAAACCTGGCAAAGAGAATGAGTAGAGAAAACCAAGACAAATTAAATGTAGCAAAACAACTCCAGGGAGCTTAAGGAGCTCAGTACCTACATGTAGGACATGTAAGGAAGAGCAGGCCCATGGATTCAATTTACATCTGTACCAGTGTTGACAGCAGTGAAAATAAGCCATCGGTGCCTGTCAGTGGGCCACATCAAACCCAAGATGCTGCATTACAAGAATGTTAAGGCTGCTATGCAGAGTTAAAAAAAAAAATAAATTAGGAATTATGTTGTCTATGTAGTCCTAATTTAACCTCTCTGTCTGCATATATATGTGTGTTTAGATTATGTAAGTACATGTATAATTATGTTATATTAAATTATAATAAATCTGTAGATACACAATTGTATGTCATTCTTTCCACAGAACCCCCAAATCACTCAGTCTCAGCAGTGATGGTGCTCATTAAATGAGCAGTTATTCAATACAACTTAGCTCTTTGTCCTCCTTGTTCAATATAAACTTATATTTAAAACCCTGTCCTCACACTTCTACCGTGAAATCAGAATGACTGCCTTCCCAATAGAGTTTTATGACAATTATCATCATACACACTACACAATGACCCTCCACACTAATTTCACAGCTCTCTACCAGGTCAGAATAACACCATCATCCGTATGCATCTGCCACTGTTGGACTCTTCTGTCCCTTTTCTTGCCCCGTCTCTTCTTCACAGCCGGGCTCTTTGTCCCAGTCTACTCGTACTGCCTCTTCCACAGATGTAAATTCAGTCCTCTAACAGAAAGAACTGCTGTCTGCTTTGGCTACAAGGGGAGGGGGGGCAAATTCAGTATCCATAGATATAGGCAAACCTAGACCTTCAGACAGTGATGGCGGTCGTGTAACCCCCTGCCACATTTGCTTTGGATTCTCTACTCTCAGAGCTCCGGCTCAGCTTGTGACTACATACGATTGTTTCATCTACTCAAAATCAAAAGGCTGCTCTTCCCTTCATCCTGTCCAGACTGCAGCTTCTTCTTTGGCATATGAAAGATTTCAGGCTTACACCACTTTCCAAGTATGTGCTGTCTCAGAAAAACAGAAAAGTGCCTCATACCGATATAAAACTGCAATGCATCCGCCAACCTCTCTTCAGTTCGTACTGGGGAGAGAGCTGTTATCAAGTTGTAAGGAAGAGGCATCAGCATGTGGTTTCAATCTTTATGTCCTTACTTATTATGCTTCAGTAGCGTGTATGGCACAGCATACAAGGAAGGACTTCTACTTAACCCTAGGTGACTTCAAAGGCTGACAAAGTTTTTCTTTGTTTAATGCAGGGACTACACAGCGTTGTCAGCTCTTCCTAGGCATGCACAGTATTTATTTTTCCCTTTTATCTTATTAAAACAGAACTCCTGCTGGGCTATCTTATGATAATGATTAACTGCTGAAATCCCAAGAGAGAGGCCCACTCAGTCTGTCCTGCGGTAGTGCTGATTTAGACAGCAGTTCAAATGCAAACTTTGAGTGCTGCACTTCGCAAGGGCTATACGTTGCTGTTATTAATGCACCAATCAATAAACACACTGTAGAAAAAGTCCGAGACTCCTGCTGCCTCCAATTTGTGGGCTAATTGTGTGGCATTTTGGGATATTCAGTCAGATTAAGCAGTGACTTCGGTAATTCTTCTGTTGGCCTGATCCCATAACTGGACACGTGCCTTGGGTCATACAACACATACCAGAGCGGTGGGGAACGAAATTAAACAAAATTATGTTGTAGTGAAGACAATTGCAACCTTCAAAGCGGGAGCAGCAGATGCTCAGCACTGCACAGAATTAAATCAGTTATAACAATTGCCTTCCCAAATGGGAGCAGAGCAACCCCAGTGCAGGGCAGGGTGACCTAGCTTGCTCGGCATGGCGCACTTGTAACAGAGCTGGGAGCATGGACGGCAAATGCAGGCACACCTTGATTCCTTTTGGGTTTGCTGGCTGGACAGTTGGGCTGCCTGACATCAGGAGCCCGTGGCCCATGCTTCCTACATGTCAGATGTCAACATTTATTTGAAGAAAGCATTGATATATTTAGCTATTTATTCCAAGAAAGACTGGTTTTGGGGTTGGGAGTTTTCTTTTGGTTTTTTTTTACTTGCCCGTTTAGCTGTAAGTGCATTAAAACCAAAGCCCTGCAGCAGTGGGTGATCACAGTAGGCATCTTTTCTGGAGAAAATACTACTTACATTATCTATGCTTTAACAGGATAAAGGACTTGCAAAGCCACCTTTTGCTATGATTACTGCCTTTGCACAGTCCAGGAATGCAGAAGCATTAATTGCTGCTTCAGTTCAGGAACAGCCAGAACCCCATATGTGCCTCAGGTACCTTCTCCCTAGGCATGTAACATTCTCCTCTCAGATAGGAAAGATATATAGAGGCATTGCTACTAGCATCTCTCTCAAGGAACCACTGAAAATGATTCATTTTCCTTTAGTAATTCTAGATCTTGTGAAGAACCATACAGTGTTTCTTGAAGTGTTCTAGTTGTATCACTTGCTGCTTTCAAGAAAATGCAAAGGAAGCCTTTCCTAGGTTGTTCAGATGGCCTGCATTTCTTAGTAGATTATTTTGTTTTCAGGTGATGGCCTGCATTTCTTAGTAGATTATTTTTTCAGGCTTATTTGCAAATGTTAGCGACTTTACAACTGAAATAGTTCTGCTCCTTTTGCAGCTCTTTTGAAAGAGTTACAAGATTCACAAGGTTCATTTTTCCAATGGACTGAGCAGAGCTGAAAGATGGAACAGGCATGTACCACCTTCAGAAATGTCTAATTTTCTTTCAGAAAGTGGCTCGATAGCTTTATTCTTACCCATTATTATTATATGTGATCATACCACTACTGGAGAGGCAGCAGTATGACTGAATGATACCAGGTGGAGATGAAGAACAGCTGATTGAAGCTGACTCAGAGCAGAGCAGAACTGAGATGCTGATGGACAGACAAAACTGCTTTGAAGAATGTGAGGTCTCTTGACAGCGTCCTGTGGCTGAGGGCACAGAATTTCAGTCAACTCTGAATAATTCACAGCAAGGTCTCTCAAAATGGCAACCTGGAGCAACAGTATCTCCTGCTGCTGGTGATTCCAGCAGGAATCCACATCATCCACATGATGATGTGGCTTTGGTTGTTATCTGTATTACTGACAGGCAATATACGTAGGTACATACCAATTTGCACTGAATATTGCAAATATCTTCTGAGCCACCACGCTGTCCTCACACTTCATACTGTTTTCAGAGAACATTGGATCACATACAAGGTCTTGGGTCATACCACCAAAATAGTCTATTCTGGCAAATTGAAAGGTTTGCCTTGATTCAGTTAAAATTGAAATATGACTGAAGCATCCCCCCTGCCTCAAACACCATGGCACACTCAAGCATGAGATGGTGCTTTTCCCTTAGGTTGGCTGCGTTGCCAATGGATGAACACTGGTTACTGGTCAAGACCACTGCAGCACATTAGCTGGTAACACAAATGCTCAGAATGACAAATACAAGCTCGCTTGACCATAGTGCCATAAATCCTCCAAGAGCTTTCTACAGTTGCTAGTGTGCTTCCAACAGAGGCACAGTAAGCTGGATAAGCCTGGTTAACTTCACCATAAAGAGATATACTATAAAAGCCCAATGCTGAGAATTAGCCAGGGCTAAGATTACATTAACAACGCCAATAAATAATAAGAAGAGGTTATGGAAATTTGTGGCCAATGAAGAACTTGGAAATGGCCACTGAAGTGACGTTTTGCAACAGGGACTGGCATGTAAATCTATGAAGCCCTACTTCATACTGAAGGAAGCAAATTAATGAAAAGGAACAGCAGTACTTTGTTCCCACCTGAAAAAAGAAAACCAATCCCAAAAAAAATCAAAGGCAAATTTTGGGACTTCTGCAATCTCAGCTTGAATCTGGATCCCATGCTGCCACAATGCAAAATACCAGAAGCAACGACTGCAGGCTCAAACGCAGTCATTGTCCAGGGGTGATATTAATATTAATTATTAAGATTAATCAAGATTAGATTTGTAAGGTACTATCTTCTCCTAGGACTCTGAACTTAGAAGGCTGCAAAAGTTTCAGTTTCAACATTTCTGTGATGATGGAAAAGTCCTTTCCAGCCCCGGGATGAAGCATCAGCAGTATGTGAGAAATCCAAGGCAACGCAGCCACGCTGGGTCTCAATCGCTATGTTCCTGTCTGCAAGGCGCAGAGCTTGGCCAATGTGGGTGGATTGCCAAGAGGACGGCAAAAAGCACATCCCTGCCAGAAGGAAACCCTGCCAGTCTCCGAGTCACTAAAAACAGAAGTGCTACAGCTCCTCAGAGAAAAGGTGCCAAGAAGGTTCTACCAAGGGCAAACCACCCACACGTTTTCCTCTCTCTTCATCTTTTGGAAGCAGCCAAACTGTTCTGGCTGAAATTTTCTACATGCAAAGGTAACAGAGGTCAGCTCAGAGCAAACACCCTGCCTGCTTGAGAGAAAACATGTAGAAAACAGGGTCTTATGAACGGTAAGCGCTAAGTTCTACTCTCCCCTCCATAATCTTCTTTCAGGAATTTAAAAAGATAAAAACATCCAACACGACTGATTTGGAAGCTGAGGCTTGTATTTTTTTTTCCAACAGACGTCACCCAGCCTTCTCCATATTCCTCACACCTACTTTGGCAAAGGATATTTAGCCTCTTTGTCCCCATTTTGATTCCTGCTGGAATAAACAGATTTACACCTCAACACAGATAACTGTATTGCTTTTTCCAATAAAAAATAATAATTAAAAAAAAGGATAGACTTACGAAAACAGAGTTCAACTAAATAATTTTAAAAAGGGGCATAGTGGAGATACCATAAATTATGAGGCACGCTTTGCAGCAGAACCTTGAAAAGAGTATTTATTTTGTATAATTCCTGGTAAGAATGAGAACGGAACAACAAGCAATATCTGAACTCCAGTCAGCGGGGTGCTTTGCTACATTACTGGTAAGGCTGTGGAGCACCTCCCTTCCCATCAGAGGGCAGTAGCTGCCTGCAAGTGGTGCCGCTTCCCTCTATCGTAGCTGTAACACTACCTTCAGAAACGTGTTGATAAAGCTGCTTTCTAAGCAAAATAATTGTTACTTCAGTTTAATGATCATCATTTGTAGATTCTTCAATCATTTACGCTTAAATAACTTTCATAATGTCTGACTATGTGCTGTTTCTGTTGTATTCAAGACTATTTTTTATGATCTGCACAATGATGCAGCATCACAGCAACCCTCCTTCGACGATGCCCCAGACTGACTCACAATAACCTATCTAAGGAATCCAGTCCAACCTTTCCAACACTTTACCAAATGATCAGATAATAGAAAATGATCTGTTGGATTTATTAAAGTTAAAAGTATATCTGTTCTTAAAGAGTTCCTTTGGGAAGATGCACAGATCATGTTTTTCCTCTAAAACGTTTCAGAGATGCACTAGGAACAAGCAAGTGTAAGGCAGGACAAAAACCTTTCTGCTCAGTGTTACAACAGTAAGACTCTGCTAGCAAAGAGTCTTCATAAAGATGTGATATAGCAGGGGTCTTCAGCACACATCTGATTTTAAACACATTAAAACATGTGCCCAACGCTAGGCACACAGCAAAATGCTTTGCTGAGTTAGGATGGAAGTGCACATTTCAGTATCATCTTCCAATTAAGTTCAATGGTTTATTTAGATCAGCTGCTGTAAATAGTAAAACCTGCTCTCTAGTGATCTGGAAAGAAAACCCCTACCTGCATAAACCCAAAAGGGACCAGAGGGAGCAGCAGTACCTCTTCCACAAAATGTTCCTGTCCAGCCCGCCGCGCAAGTACAGGCTCCACTCACGTGGTCGCAGGCAGCTCCGTTCTGGCACTGACAGCTGTACTTACAGCTCAGGCCAAAGCTTCCCTCAGGGCATCCTGCAGCGGAAGAATCAAAACCAGATGACGGGTTAATTCTGGAGCAGATCAGGGATCAACGGGGAATTTTTAGATACATGGGAATTCTTACTATTCGCAAAAGAAGAATCAAGGCATAATGGTAATGCCCTAAAACTGATGTGATTAAGTATTCTCCTTGGGGTCCAGGTAGGTTGGGCTGTTTTTATTAAGGTCTATTCTAGAAAAATGCCAGGATGTTGAAAGACTAATTTCTGCATAGAAAACTAATATCATCTGATATTTGCAAAGCCTGCGACTTCACAGGTTCTGTTTGATGACACTTTGCACACTCATCTGGAATCGCTTACGTGCACATCTCCTCTGGGACTTCATCAGCCAGGAAGGGGAAAGCTCCCAGCTTCTGTGCCTCCTTTTGAGGCCCTATCCTCTGTTTTCCTGCAAATCCTCCTTCTCCAGAAAGCTGGAGGAAATATGAAATGTGGTGGCCTCCTTCAGAAAGCTCCAAACTGAAAGCTGCATACTTCACTTTCAGGCTCTGCTTTGAAAAATTTAAGTGAAACATTACATCTGGGGGACAGATTAACAATTACATTTCCACAGCAGTTAATGTAAGGAGTTTTAAAAGACTTGCATGGTACTCACTATTGGAAGAAAGAAAACACCACTTGAGAATGAAAATAATTTCTTCCAGGATTATAGGAAAATCAATTAAGAATAGGGCCAGTTGCCTAATTCACATTAGATATTTTGGACAGGCTGAAGTAGAGAGATATACTTGGCTAAACACAATATTACAGGGCCTCTACTCATGTTTGAAGTTCTTGTGAACTCCCCTCTAAAACGAGTTAGGTAGATTATTGCCAGATCTCTTTAAAAAAGTGTAGGATTTTAGCATTTACATCAACAAAGTGATTTTCAGGCAATCTGGAAAGAATCACAAAGAACAGAAAACAATAAGGATCCTCAAAGACAACTCTGCATCTGGAATAAAGTGGTGGGTTTGGTGCTGCCTATTCGGTGCCGTAGGTAGGCAGTGAGAGGAGCTGGCATGAATTCGGTTGTTCCTGCAGCTTAGTGACTCTCTACTAACTGGAGCCAACCCCTGGGTCTCTTATAGAGGCTATAGGCTGGGATGGGAGACAGAAGGATAGCAAGGTACATTAAGTACTTCTTTGCTTTCAATCATCTGCGTCAGAAAATGGGCCGTTGTTTAAATGTGGAGTCATTTAAATGGATGTGTTGCGCTTACACGTGAAATTCAGTCCAGGGTTGAATCGGTGCAAAATCCCATTTGCATCACTTCCTATTCCCAAAGCCGCAGATCACCGTGCATCATGCCTCCTGCACTAGTTCAACGAGTAAATACATTGAAGTGTACTTGTGCCTTAAAAGCTTGATCCTCCTCAGTGTTTACTTTTCATTTGACATTTCAGTCAGAGTCCAGAAAATCTATGCAAGGAAAATAGTATTCCAGTGCAGCAATAGGTGTGGGGCTCTCAGCTGAGCTTTCTTCAAACCTATGGCTTTTAGCCCGGAGCTGAGACTTTCAAGGTGATGACAACGGGTCAGTACACTTCACAAATGATTTCGCAGTCCACATCACAGAGAATCTGCCCTCTGCTTGAGCAGGCACAGGCTGTTGCAATGCATGCCGAGATACATCCACCCCTCCGGAGTACCTGAGCTGCCTGCAAAGCTGCAAAGGGAAAGAGCCCAACCTGCAGCAAGAGGCTAGAGATGCCTCGGGAGCAGAGGAGCTCTCCAGGGATAGTAAAGATCTCACCTCCAAGGCAGCATAAAATGTTTAGGGAAGAATTATGGCTTTCATAATCTTGCACACACATACATGCACATTTTTTTATACATATATTCATATATATATACACACACACACACACAATTAAAGTGGGGTAAAAAGCAGACTGAATAAAACAGAAGACCCGTAGGCAGAACATTAGGGATCGCCAGAGGTTTTGTTGGTGGCAACGGCTTCAGTGATTACCTTGCCAGAGAAGATGACAACCAGCTATTTGGCTACTTTTTGTCTGCAGAGATACTGTTTTGAGAGAGGTCAAGAGCAAAAGAGAAGTGGAGCTGGCAGCTCTTTCTCCGGGAGCTGGTCTTCCCACTAACTGCCCTTCCATTTCCTCTGTGCCAACAGCAACAAGAGCCGTCAGATCAACTTTCCAGGGTTTTTGTCTTAGGTCACTGTTCCAGATTAATTGTTTTGACATTTCTGTGTGACACCATCAGTTAATTCTGCCTAAGCTTCTGAGACTCTGGTAGCTACATCTGTGCTATTGTAAGACTGTTAAACTAATAGATAAAATATTTATTTTATTTAACAACATCAATATAATCAATAATAATAATAATCATCAGCTTAACTATGCAACTTATTGCCACAAGATGAAGTGGATACCAAATGTTTGCATGGAATCAAAAAGGAAATAGGCACATTAATTGGAAAAAAAATCAAGTTGTATTAAATATAGAGATACTGCTTCTGTCTCAAGAATCTCCTGAGTGACAAATTGATGAAACCTGGGGAAACATATCAGGAATTATCTATATGCCTGTTTTTATCCTCTGAAGGCATCTGCTATTGACCTCTGTTAGAGACAGATTAGTGGAGATCATTGGCCTCTGGTAAGACCATTGTGCATTTTTGTTGTTAATAAATGGAGGACCCTAAATCTTCCTGATTTTGCTTCTGTTATGTACATGTGAAGCATTTCTATATGCACGGCCTTAAAAAAAGATTTATGAAGAAAAACTGCGGACCTAAAACTGGATAAATAAAACCAATATGGAAACTTCTATACCACAAGCCAAATACACATCAATCCTATCACTCACACGAGGTCTTAACATTAAAAATAGCTGTTGAGTCCAAAACAAGTCTGAAAATAACTTTTCTGGAATCCAAATTAGGGAAACTATCTAACCCCAATGAAACCCGAGAGCCCTGCGACGCGCTGGGCAGACCGGAGGCGGTACAGCCTGGAGGTCTTCCTGGAGGAATTATCAGGAAAAATAATTTCTGGTTTTGCAAATTCCCCGTGTTGACAAAGTGACAACTCACGCCATTCGCAGTGTTTCCCAGTGAATCCCGGCTCACAGAAGCAAGAGCCAGTGACCGGATCGCAGCTGCCGTCGCTGTTATTGCAGACACACGTGTTTTCACAGCGCTGTCCCCAATGGCCACTACTGCAGGCTGCAATGTAAAATGGTATTTACATTGAGAATCAACTTCGAGCTCGCCTAATGGATTATTTTACATCTAAATGAGAGAACAGAAAAGATGCAAAATAGCCCCTTAAGATACAGGAGCTCTGGACTAGACTCTCAGCTGCAGCATGGGGCACAAATCCATGGAAATAAATACAAGTTTTGCTGATTTATTTCAGCTGAAAGTAGGCAGATATTATGCCATCCACATAAAACTAATCATTCATAGTCAACCCATATCAATCAATCCAGTCACAAATGCATAATTTCACAGAAATAAAATACCAGCTATTGACTCACTCAGCACAAATCTGCATAACCAGAATAGACAATGGGTAAAACAAGACAGGTTTGTGAGCATTCTCCATATTTTCCTCAAAATACTGGGAAATGCAACATGGACAAAGACAGACAAATTTCACAGTCTTTGTTAAAGCAACTTACTGCTTTCATTCTAAAAATCACGTAACACTGACATGATTACGACAACGTACCACGGCATCTCCTTCCTTTCTTGTAAGGATAAAGATTAAAGTGCCAATTAGGGCAACAGAAACCTGGTTTTGCACTTGGGAATCTGTTTCATGCCTGGTCTGCGATAGTTGAAGAGTTGCCTTACTGAGACATCTCTGCAAAACAACTTTTCTCATATCTTTTCCTGAATAGAAATAAAAGCTTTCCTTTGCCATGGTCTCTTAATTTTTTAGACAGTCTAGGGAGTTATGGAAAGCTATCTAAGTGGCTCTACACATTACCAACTGGTTTGATTTTTAAAATACGCATATTGGTGGAAACTTCAGATTTTCCCCAGAGTTTTCTTCAGTACCGAGCCTGAGAAGCCAGGTCCAAAACTTACTGCTGTCAACACTGGCAATTAATTTGTATGATTTTATGTGCCTAAGACCAAGTTTAGAAAGAGGTTTGTATTCTGTTGGCTTTTTGCAAAGGGGATCATAACGAATCAAGCAGAAAAGACGTGAAACAGGAAAAGGAAAGAATCAAGCAGGATGGCTTAACATTTATATGGTGCTATCCAAAAAGGGCAAATTTGTACTCTTACATGGCCATCAATATGGAGAGTGATGCTAAAGTCAACAGAAGGATGGTCTGCTCTTCCAGAGAACAGAATTTCTCCCAGCATTTATATTCACAAGTTAAGGAGTGACCTTAAGACACATGACTGTACATGCCACTCACTTGTTGAATAAATCTCCCCTAAACAAAATGAAAAATTGAGAATTAATCTTAAAACTCATCTGCGCTGAAAATGAAAAACAAAACTGTCTGTCAGTCAAAATGCTGACAGGACAGATGGTATTGGGCAAAGGGATCCATAGTGTTGAAATAAGAGCTTATAGCAATACTTTGCGCTTCATCAGCCATCTATTTCAATACTTTGAACCTAGATAATTAAGGATTATAACCACCCAGGCTGTGCAAACCCATAAACACACAATTTCAGAAGCAAAAAGATTAGCAAAAGTATATTAAAAAACTGTAATAGACTAAGAACAAACAGAGCCGTTTTTTACATTTGCAGTTAAGTCCCTGGGAGATACCGTGTGCCCTGTGGAGCGAATACACATTTGACTTATGATGTTTGCAGTCGTGGCCAGTCCAGCCAGGGGGACACACGCACTCTCCAGTGACAAGGCGACACTGAGCACTGCTGCTACAGCTGCATAACAGCAGGCAATTTTGTCCATAGTAACCATCATGGCAGGCTGAAAACAGATGAACAGACTGCAATTTCACCTAGATAATAACTCAGGCACAGACTGATCTTTTCAAACAAGACAGCAACAGCTTGCCCTCTAAAACATGCATTACCTGAATCCAGAAATCAAAATGGCAAAATGAAAGAAACATCTGTAATTTGTATACTAGGTGTCTGGGGCTGAGCCCTGTAGAGCGGGAATAGCTTGAGTGACTTTCCGGTGCTTCTCCTGCACATCAGGATCAATCAGAGGAGGAAAAAAGAGTGCTGAGCAAACCTTCGTCAAAAATGATTTTGTGACTAACAAGGAGAAAAAATATGCCACCAGTGAGGTCTTGCACGAAGCAGTGCTGTCCCTGAGAGCCTGTCTATGCCAGCACAACAGCCATACCCAAGCAGCCTTTAATACCCATAGGCTGGGTAAGGAGTCATGCCCCAGTTGCACAGACCAGTTGCTTGAGCATGTTCTCATGGTCTCTGGTGGATCTGCAGAGAGAGCACTGATACTACTCCTTCGTCCTCACTACTATTTAATCCTAAATTATATACATCAAGGAGTGTTGCTGCAAACAACCGATGAGTGGTGCCATAAGGGCCAATTGGTCAGCACCTCTTGCCAAGCAACCAGAATTACAATGCAAGTATTGTGGCTATTACACATTGTATTTCTAAGTACATATTGCCATAAATTAGGTCTAATGACAACATCAATTTAGGATGCAGTTTAGCTTGTCATCTGCATTTATCTGTAATCTCCCTCTGGCAAATCCTGTCAAATCCAACCTGGGAAATTCCTGAAGCTGAAGGATAATTTATCTTGGATCAGCGTGCCTAACACAACAAGCATCTCACAAAACAGCAAGAAGGTAGAAATCAAACCATAAGCCGAATTTTCAAACTGACTTTCTTTTCATGGAGAAGGCCGATGTAAGGACTTACACACAGAGCAGGATGTCCCGGTGTAGCCAGGGGGACAGTCGCAGGCTCCAGTTTCTCTGTTGCACTGTCCCCCGTTGGCGCAGGGCTCACAGGAGGACTGACAGTCTGGTCCCCACTGGCCAGCCGGGCAATCTAGGAAAAAAAAGCACATGAGATGCTCCCAATGCCATTTTCTGTTTCAAGGCAATTATACATTTCTGCTGTTACCTTGAAGAATTTAAAAATAATAGTAAAACTAAGCTGGATAAAGAATTGTTATATTATCTCTATAGATATACAGCGCTTTCACAGTAAACCTTCTGAAAGAGTCAACACGCCTCTGTACTGCAGCACACAAGAACACATCTAAAGAGAGACCCAAAGGCTCTCTTCCAACTTCCGTCACTGTGTGTCTGTTTTTTTGGTTTGGTTTCTGATACAGTAACATCAGGCATATTTGGACATATCTGAAAAATTAACTACTGCACTCAGAGAAGGAAACCTGCAGAGGACAGTAATCTGCAGACAGATGCAGGAGGGGAGGGCTGCTGTTGTATTTTTGCTGGGCTGAGTGGGGTCAGGATGGTCATATAGTTCAGAAGGACTGGATGTGAGGTGGAGCCCAGGTCTCCATTCAGCTCCACCTCCTTCACCAGGTTCCTGCTCTGTGGAGTGGTGTGCCACAACCCAGGTCCACGCAGGGCAGATGCTCCTCAGGCGTGCAATAGCCAGAGCTCTTCAAGTGGAAGAGGGACGTCCCATGGCCCCGTGGTAGTTCAGCGTCCCCGAGACTTTTTTAATGCCTTTAATTAATTACCCACAATAATGCTCTCCTTCTTAATTCCTTCCTCTGTTCCAGGTCCTTCATTTGCTGGTTCCACAATAGCTGTCTTTGGCCAAAGCCCTTCATCAGCTTCTGAGGCACATTGTGTGCATATGGCAGCACAGTCCCAAGCTCTGCTCTGGGACTCAGAGCTGCTGCAATGCCCTGGTATCGCTGCCCAACTTGTATAGACCCAGCCCAGCGTACAAATCACTATTATTAATTGGAGCAGAGAGATGGGTCAGGGTAACTGAATCACACTCCCTCCTTCACAAGCGATCCCATGCGGTGGACGTCATACGTTCTGCACCAAGACTTATCCTTTACCCTTCCTGCAAATGAAGCCTATTGCATTGCTGCAGTTTTGGTGGGAAACAGAAATTCCATTTCTTATCATGTCTGTCAAAGCAAGACACTCACGACCCTAGCCCGACACCAAGCACACCTTGCTCACACGTAGTGCCAGTCTTCCCAGCTGGGCAAATACACTGCCCTGTCTTCGGATCGCATGGTGCTTCTCCACAGCTGCACCTCTGCTGGCAGTTCACCCCAAAGCTCCCAGGCTGACAAGCTGGTCAAAAGAAACCCAAAGACACAGTTAGTATAAGGAAGCATTTTGAAAACATTAGGAGGCACCACCACCAGCAATTTTAAACTGACCTGTACTGGTACCAAGTGATCTATGTTAGCATCAGTGTCTCAGCGACTGGTGGTCTGTAATTAACTGCAACAGAGCTCTAGAAAATCTGTGTCTGAAGCTTTAAAAGGAACTATAGTTACTGGACAAACATTAGCTTTAGTAACTGGCCACAGCCTTGTGCCTCGACCTTTGCAAGCAGAGTGACACAGCAGTTGCTAGGCTCCAGATATCAGTTTGGCTTCAGTGGGGAACTGCCAACTCGTATCAACAACAAATGTACCCTTTTATTTGCAACTTCTGTATCTGAACAGAAGTTTCCTGAGTAACCTTTCCCATCCAAAGTGTACCTCCCAGGGAAACATGCAGTGAGTACCTACATAAATGGCATTTTTCTCCATGAAACCCAGGTGGACATGGTTGTTTGCAGACTCCTGTCTCATGATCACACAAAACATCAGTAGGACAGTTGCATCTCAGTTTGCAACCAGCCCCATAAAAGCCAGGCGTGCACTCTGGAAAATGCAAGTAGACGGAGAACATGTATAAGAAAAAGGAAGAGTTAAGAAAACTGAACAAAAGTCAGACAATAATTTGGCAGAAATTTGCAGAAAATCTATTATAATGTACATTTTAGAGGTGCTGATAACAAAGTGTAAATACTTATTAAACACTTGCATGGACATTTCAAAGAGGTTACTGCTTAAATACAACCCAGAAACAGAGTGGCAGAATACTTAAGGATATATTCAATTACAACCATTACAGAATTACTCTTCTTATCTGTCTATACTTTCTGCTGCTCTCTGCCTTGGTGCAAAGCCAGTGCTGGGTGAGGGATGCTCCCTCTCCCCCAGAACCCAGCACATCACCAAGAATGCTAAAGATATTAAATATCGTCACTATTATTCTCCACCAAACCCCCCAGAACTAGCATCATAAGTCCAACACATTCCAGCCTGCCCAGAGAGGAATCTGAAGGGAGAATCTTTATTGCGTTACTCCATTACTGTCTGGAGAGAGCTACTGAGACATGCAAACATGAATGCGGAAGACAATTCTCTCTGAACTACCCCCAAAAACTACAAAGAATAAGTTGAATTCAAAGACTTGCAAATCTGAAGGAAAAGTAGCATTACTGAAACCATTTACAAACAATCCTGCTGCCATAAAACACAGGTTTTGTCACTTACTTACTGTCTGCGTGAAAAAAGGAAAGAACAGAAGTGAAAACTCCCACAATCTTCATTATTAAGGGTTGTATTAAAATTTGGTTTCTAGGTTTCTGTTGTCATTTGATCAGGCTAAGACTCCTGCATTCTTAAGCTGTATTCCCCTTGATGTCCCTGTAAGCCCTGTGATATCAGGCACTCATGGAGTTTGTTGTACGACAAACCACAGACAAAATAATTAGTAGAATATGAATATATTAGTAGCAGCAGCAAACAAAGCAGATGGGAGGAAGAATGAGAAATAATGCTAGGACAAAGGAATAAGCAGACATAGGGAATCTGGCTTTCTGTTATACCTTTCTGACACTTTTTGCCATGATAACCAGGCTTGCAGGTGCAAGTCCCGTTCCTCGTGTTGCATTCCAGCGTGTGCTCTTTCACGCACTGACACTCCTCTGAGCAGCCAGTTCCAAAGGCCCACCTGGGACAGGCTGCAGCCAGATGAAAAGGAATCATTAGCTCTGTAATTATGCATGAGTTATTTGAAATTGCACAGTGATGCAGAAGCAACTGCTGCAAAAAGCAAAACGTTCATTTTACTTTCAGCAAATACATCCACATTTCTATGACAGTGCCTCTTAAAGTGTGGGTGTATAAAATATAGTTTACATGATTCCTTTATTAAGTAATTCATTTAATTTCAAGCCATATGAGGTGAATGCAAAAACCAGAAATGTTTCAAAGCAAACTTAGTTAAGTTTCTGAATGAAAAAATATTTGGATACACTCCATGACAAAAGCTTTCTTGAAAAAAAAAAAAATCACAACTATTTTTCAGTCTTGTACAGATTGTACAAACAAAACCCGTAAGTGCAAAGAAACTTGACCATCTCTTTTGTAACATTTTTGTTTTGATTCTTTTTATTCCCATTTAACATTTTGCCCTCATCCTGCCCCAACCAGCCCTGCTCCTCAGCTCCCACTCCAACCGTATCAACAGCCACTAACTAGCTCCAACCAGTCTTTAACCTCACCAACAACCCTAACGTTAACCTGCTTATCCCAACCCAACCCTACCTATAGTCCTCACCTTTGTGCATCAGTAAATCTCAGTCCTTATGGCAAAGATTAATTGCTAGAGGAAAAGATTAATGAAGTTTCTGGGGCTTCCTGGGATACGTCAAAAGTCAAGTCCTCCCGCTACTCCCAGCTTATGGCAGAACCCAAAGCCTCACTCATTTTATGTGTGATGTGGAATCTTTTTAAGACTGTTATGTTGTGCATGTGTTAAATAAACAGATCCAAAAAATTATGGGGACTTACTAAGATGGCAGAAGCGCCCGTAGAGCCCTGGGTCACACAGACAGGCTCCATAGAGTCTGTGGCAATAGCCGTTGTTGGCGCAGTTGCATGGTTTGTTACAGTTCTTCCCAAAGAGGCCTTTCGGGCAACCTTTTGAATGCACAAACACAGCAAGGCATCAGCTGTTAAGTGTTAAAACACGAACACCAAATCAGCTCTCTTTTAGTTGGCATGGCAGAAAAGACCACGCTGACTTGTCGCTGACCTGGGGCTCTGTGCAACCCATCCTTACAAGGCACTTGCTTTTTCTCACCCTCTGTCTTGCTTATTATTTAAACAAAAGTCACTGCAAGGCAAGCTGTAGGGTTATAGTACGTCTCGCACAATGGAGACTGTTCTCATTCGGGCCCCTAAGATTTAGCACGCACAATTACATCTAGATAGAAACAAGGGGAAAGAAGTGGTGAGGTTTCAGGCACACGCTACAGCCGGCAAGACAAGGGGAGCCGTACCATCTTCACAGAGCTTGCCGTGCACGCCGGGCGGGCAGCGGCACTGCCCTGTGACAGGGTCGCAGGAGCCTCCGTTCTGGCACTCGCAAATGCTAGCACAGCCTCTGCCATACGTCCCGGGGGAGCAAGCTGCAGAGAAAGCAGGGAAGATGAATGGGCCAAGAAATCTTTTCCCTCTGCTAGAAACGAAATAAAATAAAGACTCCATCAAAACTGAGCAAGGAAAGAGTCTCTTTAGTCAAGTGGGCTCTAAACCAAATCATATTATTTTTATATAAGGTAATACACATCCATCTAATACTTACTAGATAATTTTAAAAGGATGCCTGAATTAATCAAGCTTACTTATGTGAAGTACTACGTGATGTATCCAAATTCTGCCCTGCATATGCTCCCCTCCACACAATGCATGGGGCTCAAAAAACATTGCCTATAAAGTACAAAGCTTAAAAATCAGAGCACAATTTTGAATATTTGGAGATAAGTATTTTAAACGTTTTTTTTTTCTCTCCCAAATACTATTATAAAAATAACATTGTGTTTTTCTAACATAGTCTCTGAAATTCCCCAGATGATCACAGCAGAAATGGATCCACATCAGCACAGAATTCCATCCTAAAGCCCTCATTGCTCCAGTGCAAAACAAATTGTGAAATGAAGCCTTGCTCCACTGTTTGCAGCCTGAGCTAGCTGAGTAAATACAGTTGCTGGAGTCATCTGACTTAACTGACATTTTGTCAATGTACATTAAGAAATCTGACATTGCACATCAATTTCCATTCAGTTTCTTTCGTGCATTATTACAGAAATTTAGTTTCAATTTTCTCAACTATTTAGCTTACCCTAAACCCATGAACTATGCTGTATATTAAGAAAGTGAGATAAAAGAGTGGAAGCAATCACATATGGCTAATTCATACAGATTATATATTGTATTTATCATTGTCAATGCCTGCTTCATCGGATTGCAGGTTTGGCTCAATAACGAAGTCCCATTAAAGTTCTTTAAATTCCAGAGGTGAACTCCACCAGATTACATGCATAGGTATCTACTGTAAATACAGAGCAAAAATGTTATTATTATTTATGAAGTGAACTAAAGAATTTGTATCCTGTCTTGAAATTTTTATAATCTATCCTGAACCACTAGAACACCATGAATAGAAGCAAGAATATCCTAACTTGAACTGTCTAAGGCAGATTAGAAATTATCATTTTAATCCTCTTCTTTCCTATTCTCTCAGCTGTCCCCAGTGTTTACAAATCAAAGGCACGATCGGTCTCCCAAAATAACTATGGGCAGACTGTTGATTTCAATCATTTGCTGTTTTTTCTAGATTTCTGTCCTTGTGACGATGCCTCCTAAACAATCTTGATGGTGATTAACCTGAAGACTGCTGTCTACCGATGCTAAGTAATAATTCTTCATCGTCTCTTTGTCTCATCAGTGACAGCGCAGACTTTCTGAGTATGATGGGCCATCATGCCATACACCATGAAATGGAGGGACCCATCTCAAACATGCAGGAGACCTGCTGTATGAAGTCTCAGGCAAGCAACAGACAAGTTTTGCCAAACTGCAGATGAAGAACAGCGCACGGTACATCAAGAAATCACCACTCTATCTTTCCAGTTGGTTTTGACACATACTTCTGAATCAGAAAGATCTTCTGCCAGTAAGCAGGAATAAGGAGAGTAAAAAGCTATTACAGAGGGCACTGGCTGACTTGGCAAGAGAATTCTGAAAAATACAATTTCCAATGCTAAAAATTAACCATCCCAAGAAAATTATGTTAATAATAAAAAGAATGATAAGAAAAAAAAAAACCAGGCCCAAGTTTACCAACAAAAGGAGAAAAAAAAAAAAAAAAGCAGTATCTTGGGATGCTATAAAGGAACAATCAAGTCCAGCATCTATGTCCACCCAGATTGTCACACCACCTGCCAGGACAGACTTTTGAAAGTCAGTGAGGCAAGTTGTGCAGCAAAGCATGGCAGGCAAACCTTGGCACTTTTCAGCAGCAGAGTGAATAGGAATGAACACTAGCACCAACTTAGGAAGTACTGTACTGTCCACCCAGATTGTCACACCACCTGCCAGGACAGACTTTTGAAAGTCAGTGAGGCAAGTTGTGCAGCAAAGCATGGCAGGCAAACCTTGGCACTTTTCAGCAGCAGAGTGAATAGGAATGAACACTAGCACCAACTTAGGAAGGGGTACTGTACTGTACTGCACTGGAGGGCAGAGACCTCGCCGTTTGAGGGTTCGTATTGTATACTGTAGCATCCCTTACAATTTCTATTTAATGTGCCACATTACGATAAAATTCTGATCTGCCTATGAGGCAGCTGTACTCCTTAGAGAGCTTTACAGATTAAAAGTACAGCGGGTTATTCCTATTTCCTACCTGTCTGCAGTGTCACAGCACTAGGACAAAGTCCTTGCCTTTCAAACACACTGTACTCACTTGCATTACAGATAATGCCGGTCCACCCAGGTGAGCAAACACAGCCACTGTGTTCACTGTTACATCTGCCTCCATTCAGACAATCCTCACAGCTCAAGCTACAGTCATTGCCAAAAGTGTTATCAAGGCAAACTGAAACGAAATATATAGAAGGCTTAGTGAGCATCCAGACAAAATAATTCCACAAGCTCTTACCTATCGTTCCAGATGCACAAGTGCAAGAAGGAACCTACCCCACATTGACAGTCTGAAAAAAAAGTATTCATGTTGTTAGCATTAATGTTGGTAGCGTTGCAATACCACTGATTCATCGCAAAAGACAGTCCCAAATGGAGATTCCCAAATTTTCCTCTTCAAATTTTAGACTCTAAATAAAATGAAAGCTGGGACTTTAGCTGGAATTTACTCCCTTAAATGCTGTAATTCCCCATCAAAGAGCACTTAAAATTACTTTTTAAAAGCAAATATTTTGCCTTCATAAAAAGTGAATTTGCACCTAATGCTTGATAATATTGTATATAATTAAAAGTATTTATTGGGAGAGAATCTCCTCCTTTTCTCCCTGCTAGGCTATTCTTTTTGTTCTTCTGTTGCAGTAGGTGGATGCGGTGCCATTTAAGCATAGTTCAGTGATATTTTTAACAGCATAGTTTGAGTGTTATTCTAGGAAAACAAAGCATAATACACATTTATCACTTCCTTTTTTCTTCATGGATATGAAAAAAGGGTTAGTTTATATGGGAAACCTTACATGAAAATGCATTCCTCCCTCACCTTCCCCACCCTCCTTTTCTCCCTTGCACCCGCAGATATGCGCACCCTCATGTTCTCTCTTTGTGGGGTCTATTGAGAAAGGCGTAGAAAATAAATGTTACTCTCTGCTAAAATACCTCGGTGACATTAAGATCCTATCCACATGGTTAGTTTATTGCCTTCGAGGCTTTATGGCTGTGGCTGGAGGCTTTTTGGAAGGGGATTTTGAACAACACCTGAAAGTGAGCTGGCAGATTATTTCAGCTAACAGTAAGTCAGCAGGCTGGTTGCTTTTCACCAGCAATTTTCTGTGTGAGGCCAGATTTCCTCTAGGTCTCAGCACCCAACTGTTCCTTTTTCTGAAGCTGAACAAATGCCCAAGCTTTCAGAGACATGCAGAATCCCAGTGCTCCCACTTGAAACGGGTTACAAACTCATACTTCAGGAGAAGAATACAGACTACTATTAAAAACGACATGCTTCTACATTAAAAAGTCATTCAATCTACAGAAAATAGGTAATTACTTACACCAGCTTATTGTTTAAAGCTGTATTTTTATAATATAGATAGCAGCACAAAAATACGTCTGAAAGTATAAGGAATAAATCAACATTTGGGAAGTAAAAGAACTTACTAAACCATTAAAAGTTTCATTCCTCCATCAATTTTTCCTAGAAACCCTCATGTGCTGCAAAGGCTCAGCTTTAGAAAAAGTGCAGATGCTCAGCTATGACTGATAATACCCAAATTTATGTAGCTAAACATAAATAAAACATACAAAAACTGGTCAATAAATATTTGATTGTGGTTTCTAGGCTTGATAATTTTGCCTGTGGTTATCTCATTTATCAGTTTTCCAATTGTTTATCAGTGTCGTTGAGTCTGGCTGGATGCTATGTGATTTGGGAGGTCTTAACAGTTTTGTTCATAAAAATAAGTTAATTTTTTATTAAAGCCAAGACCAGTTCCCGATTTTTGCCTGTAGGGCACAGTCCTCGGATGACTAGAGCTCGTATAAAAATCACAGGACATTCATAACAAAAATAAGAAATCTCATTCCTCCCTGGTGACCCACCAGCACATACTGCGCTCATCAGAAAGAAAGCACAGGGTTTCAACTCATAATACTCTTTAAGTGGTGAAGTTTCCACCTTCAGGTGGAAAGACTGAAGTCATGCAAAGCCCAGGTAGGGTGCAAAGCTGCTTTGCACCCAACTCCTGTGACTGTGTGTACTCGTGCTCTCTTTGCCACCAGTTGTGCCGAGCCCTCGGCCAGCCTGAGCTCTACGTGGATAGGTCTGTGCTTTTCCTGGAGAACACGCCCAAAGCATCAAAAGGGACCTGAATCTCCAGAGGGTTGTTTTTTTCCACAAACAAGAATGCAAATATCTTAAGCAAAAACCCCTCCAATTATTATAAAAGGGCTTGTAAACAGGCACACATGCCCCCACACCTCCCCTTCCTAGCTCTAGGAGAAAGGGAGCATTTCCCAAGGGCTTGTTCTCAGTAGAGCAGCTTTGGTCGATTTTGTGCATTGCAATAACCCACACAATCCTCTCACCCCCGGGATGAACAGGATCTTTCTGTCTGTTGCCTCTGGGGCTTTGTGCATACACCCTGTGTTTCCAAGAAGCCTCCCATCCCTTGCTTGCTGTGCTGCTCACTTTTCCCATGCCTCCCTTCGCATCCCTCCCCGCCACATCCAGGCAGCAGCAGCCGCGACCAGGGAGCCTTCCTGTTCTCCAAACATATCCCATTTGGGATGGGACATGTGGCAATGCCTCTTCCCCGCTGGCATGGAGGACAGACAGAAAGCAGGATTAATGCTCACCCTTCCTCTGCTCCTCCTGATGGCTTAAGCCCGGCCAGCCCAGCATCACTCTCGCCCCAAATCCTCTTTCCAAGACTATTCCCCGCATTTGCCGCGATGGCTAAAAGTGACGCTTGTTCACTCACCGACCCTGTGCACCAGGGTGAGCTCTCCTCGCAGGTCTTCATCCTCGTAGAGAGAACCAAGCGCGTAGCGAAGGAGCTGGGGGGGACCTCTGAACTGCAGCCCCGGAGCCCCAGCGAACCCTGCGGCCTCCTCCACATCCATCTCCTCTCCACCTAGGGCTGACATACACACGTGCCATCAGGACCCGGCCCCGAGTCTTCCTCTGTGACACTTTCCTCTCATTTACATCTTGTTTTTTATTATGCTGGTAGATTTTCCAGCTACACCCCTGTGCAGTCTGCACAGCAGTCACAGCCAATTCATTTTCTCATCTGTACTTGTAATACGTATACATATCTGCTATCCAAAAAAGAGAAAAGGAGGGGCAGGAAATCTTTCCCTTTCCTTTCTTCTGGAAATAAACTCTGGTCCTGGAGAGTCCAAAAAAACATTAAATGGGGAGTTTAATTTTCCTCACTTGAAGTTTGAAATTATTTTTAGTTAATGAAGGTCATTAGCTTATTTTGGAGATGACAAATATAGAGTGAGGCTGGCTGTCCAAGTTATTTTCAGAAAAACTAAAATTTGAGCCTTAAAATGATGGCAAATCAGTTGGCTTTCTTTTTGGAGTTGGTTAAAATACCAAACTCTTCCCAAGGTTTAGCAGGTGCTAAACTTGGTTATAAAATTAAGTTGCTAGGCTAAACTCTGTACTGGTTACACTGGCAGAAATCCAGAATCACACCACTGACTTTAGTGGAAAACTTGCCTTGGTTCATCAAAGCAGAATCTGGCTACCTTTTTTCCACAGGATGTTAAACTTCATCAAATAGTGCAAGAAAACTGTCAAAATAGTATTTATTTCTAAAACACGAGGTTTAGGTTTTCAAACATGTCCAGGGGATTTAAGCGTTCATCTCCCATTAATCTTTGGCAAAACCAAAAAATTACTTGAGGATGAACTTGGGATCCACGTGTTGCACGTAGCTCTAGCCTGGCCACATTCAGAGATGGCTCAAGTTGGCCTCCCAAAATCCCAGGATCTGTGAAAATCTCAGTTGAATTCACATTTTAAATCAGTGGGAAACACTTTAATGGCCTTCAAGATGTAAAAATAACTTACCAATGCAGGACCATCTGTTAACACCAAGCCTGTAACCCTCCTTACATGCACATTCGTACGACCCCAGAGAATTAACACAGAAATGGTCACAGTTGCCATTATCAAGATGACATTCATCCACATCTAGAAAAAACAGATATAAATGCTGATTAGGTGCAAGTACCTCTGCTCAGAGAGTGTACTCTGCACCTGGCTGCATTCAAAAAATTATTCTGCATGTAGGAAAACATGATTTTCTTAGTACTTTGGGGCTCTCCGTTTCTCACTAGTACTGGAGATACTAAAACATTTCAGGGCAACATGGAACAGATTATTTCACTTATGTTTTTGTCTCAAGTGAAAACAGCTGCTTTAAGCAGTTAAGCTCAGTTGATCCTTTGGTTATTTCGAGGGCTCTCCTTTTGTAGAAGTAGTCTTTAATGCACATCAATATACAGTGTCCATGGAGAGAGGAGGAAAAGTTCCTCTCTGCTGGCTCATCTCCCGCAGCCCCACTTTTCCCTGCTTGATGCTAGGTTATTACTGTATTCCAGTCTCAAAAAGTGGAAATTACACATTTGTAACACCTTATCAGCAAAGCTGGCATAGGTCACTGATTCTCTTATCAGGGAAATGCCCACAAAGCCCTGTGATGAGCTTTGACAGCATTTCTTCTACCTGCTGTTGTGCTTAGCTAGACCGAGCCGACGGTATCAAAGGACTCACCGTCGCAGGCGCAGCCGTCGGCGTTCGGCTGGAACCCAGCTTTGCAGGCACACTCGTAGCCGCCCACATGGTTGATGCAGAATTGGGAGCAGCAGGACTCTCCAGTCTCACACTCGTCCAGCTCTGCAAGGAAGGGGCAGCTTGTTCAGCCCCTGGACACGGTCTGAGCTGCTGCCACAGTTTTGCTCGGCAGCTACTGCGCTATTCAGCACATGCCTTTCTATGTCTTCCTCTCCCTTCACCCACATAAAACACTGTCTGAATCCTGATAATGGCTGTCTTCTCCCTTCCCCCACACCAGCCAATATCCTCCATGTCCAGGGAGAGGCATCTTTTTTTCTGGGAGTCTTAGGTGCCATGAGGTGATTTACAAAACAGACAACAACTAGGTCTCACCAGCCCACACATACCATCTATTTGTCAGTAATCTACATTTAACCATTTGCACTTCTGTACGCTCAACCTTTTTCAATGCAAACTAACAGTGAAACAAAGCTCTGATCCAACAACGCATTTCTGGACATCAGCAGCCTGCTAGGTGCAATTGTAGTTTTTGATAACTAATTGCCCATTGCCTTATGCTGCCCTGTGTCCACCCGGAAATTGGTATCGTCGACACCACTGTTCTGGTGATTAGATATGAGAACCGAGCTGTTATCTTTTCACTACAGGCTCCCAGCTGATCTCAGCCCTTGCAGCCTGCTGAGCGGGTCGGTGGCCATTCAAGGGCCACCTTGTCAATGCTGAGTCTGCAGAATGCTTTTGAACGTTACCCAGACGAGCAGCCACAGATGGGAAAGGTCAGTGTCTCAATTAACCTTGGAAGGAGTACCAACATTATTAGGAAACACCGACAGGAGAAAGAGGAGAAAGATAATGTAATTAATCAATCGAAGTGAGGAGGTCAGCACAAAAATGATTAATGCAGGTTATTTGAACACAGAGTGTTTTCCAGAAATGTCACAAGCCGAGGTCCTCTGCAGTACGTCAGACGATGCCTGGCTCTGGGGTCTAGCAACAGCCCCTTGTCTGTGTAGGAATGCGAAATGTGTGTCCAACAAAAAGGAGATTTTTGCTGTTAAGAGCAGCTTTTCATGTCCTCAGCCTTGCCAAACCCTTCCACTGTGCTCTCACTTCCCTCACTGTGGCCAGAGTAACTGCTTCCCTCTGAAATCTCCATCAGCAGGTCACTGAGCTGGGGTGGGGGGCAGGAGGCTGCTCTGTCTCCTCTCATCCATACACAAACGGGACTGTGTAACCCATCCCACCCCTGCGAGGCTCTGGGTCCAAATCTGCCTCCCTGACCTTTTTTTATTTTGCTTTTTAAGCTCCAGCATCAACCGCCCTTGCAGACCTCGGTGCTTCCCTCCTCCCCTGCTCCTTCCTCTCTCCTGCACTTGGCTTTTTTTGTTGCAAAACTCCTCTTGTCTGTAATGCCTCTCACATTCATCAGAGCTCCCACTCTCTACCTCTCCTCATGTCTTACTACACTGCTCTGTGATGCCTGCTTTTTTTTTCCCCTCTTCTTGGCTATTCTTGAAAATTTTAATGGCATAGTGACAGCAAGTCTAAACCAGAATGAGATACAGTTTGCATAGCAAAAGCCGTAAACAAAAAAATATCACATCATAAAATCGTTTAAAACATGAAGGCATTTTTAAGCTCTTCTCTTGAGATAAAAACAGATCTAACTCTATTGCTTTCACTTCCTAAGTGAGATTTCTCTCAGCCAGAAGTGCAATCTCATCACTGCGCAAATCTGATGGAAATAGAGCAACTTCCATAACACAAAGTGGAGTTTGCGCATGAAGCACTTCAGAACAGCAGTGCTACCACGCCCAGCCAGAGCCGACCCTCTTCCCAGCCGCCAGCCGAGGAAGGGAAACAAAAAAATTCAGCCAAGTGATGCTTGGGCTGGACACAATGAGATATGGCCACAGCAACTGGTGATGCACCGAAGTGTCATCTTCCATTTGGGAGGCAGAACTCCTTCCCTTCATTAATTAATAATCCCAGCAAACACGCAGAGCAAGGCAAGCTGGAGCAGCGGCTGAGGAAGCGCCAGAGGACAGTATTAATTAAAACTTGTAGGAAAAGGGCAGGGGATGGGAAGGTATTTCCTTGAGTGACAGCTCTCCTGCAGGCTCCCCTTGCAGAGAGACTCACCACACCTCCTCCCTCCTCCTGTGGAGATGCAGCATTCGCCGTGAATTACCTGCGCATGTTTTGCCATCAAAATCGAGGCGATAGCCGTCGTCGCAGGAGCAGCGCGGCCCCGTAGTCGTGTGCTCGCAGTGATGAGAGCAACCACCATTGTTGTCCTGGCAGCTATTGATAATTTCCATTTCAATGCCTTGCAGAGAAATAAATCAAAAGGATGTTAAAAAGCAAGCACAGGGGGACAGTCACCGGAGAATAAGCCTTCCGCAAAAAAGCATACATAAGCTGACTGCTGTAGCAGGAAATACAAACTCAGCTCCCACACACACCCGAGAAGAGCATGTTTTGGAATCACTGAACTTCAGGTATTTGTCTCCTTGTGTCACAACAGTGGATGCTCTCGACTTCGGTAACATGAAGCCAGCTCACCGTTTCAGCAGTCTGCCTGCTACGGGAGCGTTCACGGGTTGCCTGAGATTTATGCTTTGTTTGAACCTAACAGTGAGTTCTGCCCTTGCCCCAGAGAAGGAAAGGAACCACCTGAGGAACCCAGGCAGTTCACCTCAACCCAGACTGCTTATGCTTTCCAAAAAGCAGCTTTTAGTTTTGTCTGTGAATGGGAAAGAGTTGGGTTCTGAAACATCCACCGAACACAAATGCCTTAAAATTTTCATAGTAGAGTCCTGCTGCCAAGCCTGACACCTAATCACAAAGCAAAACAATCTGCAGGTTTTGACCCTTGGACATCCCTTCAAGGGGGAACACAGCAGCTCCTCTGCTGAGACTTTGTCCCCCTACAATTAAGACAGGGTGGTGGTACGATGCTGTCACCAGCCCCCTTCGCACTGACAGATCACCCCACCCTCCTGCACTTGGTTGCGCTGGACAATCCTCACAACATTTTGCCTAGGTCCAGTGGAAACCCTCATAGAGGAAAGGGAACACCTGTCCATCTCATTCCCACCAAGGTACTTCATTAAATGATTTTTTTAGGATGAAAAGAAAATACAAGTTTATAAATTTATAAAGTTTCTCTTGAAGAATTAGCTGGATTGTCTTGTTACAGAGCTATTTAGAGAGGAATTAATTTCCCATACTATGTAGGAGGACTGAGAAACACCCTCCCTAAAGGAGCCATCGTACTGTCAGAAACACCCCAGCTCAGAGCTGTGGCTATCAGATCTGGTACAGAAGGATGGCATTTCCCCGCTGCTGCGGCTCGTGTACACATCTGTGTCGGTGGCTCTGATCCTACCCCTTTTTGTGCCCGCAGGGAGCAACCTGCCTGCCAACCAGAAAAGCAAGTCTAGCTGGGAGAGGGTATAGATTAGGAGAACATATACGGAGGGCTACATCTCATGCATGGTATGATTATTTGCACCAGGGAGAAGAAATCTAGTCTCCTGCCCAGTGTGTTAAGCTGGGATTTAGGAAACCCAGCGATCAAACATAGAATCTGACTTTATACACTATCTTCATCATTTACTTTGTCTCAGTTCTTCATCAGTAAAACTGGAATAACAGCTCTTCCCCATGCTGCTGGGGAAATGAAAGAATAAACAAAGATTGTAAATTGCTCAAACACTGGGATAATCCTGATCATAAATATATGCAGAATGTTTTTATTGTTTGCTCTGTAATAGTGTACATAAGGGACAGAGAATCACCATCCCCTGAGATTTGCTGAACATAGAGAAAAAATATTATCAGAAAGTCACAATGAAATCTAAGTGGTCTAAACCACTTTTTTATCCCCGTAACAGATCATTTTATATCTATATATTAATTGCATTTCCTCTGCCATTGCACTACTCACAGTTCCCCATCACCTATGAAATAAGCCTCCAGGATGTCTCTCACATGATTGGCATTTGTTTTTAATGTATGTTAATGCTTTGAAACAGAATTTCATCCTTAATAAATATTTCTTACACACACGTTCTTGAAGAAAGCATTCATTCTCTGTCATGCAGCATATTTTCCTAAGAAAATTCTGCTGAAAGTTCTTGCACGGTATTATTAGATTGAACGATCTTTGCCCACCTCTTTGCTATAACAGGTCATGCTTTTGTCTGCATTCCAGTGAGCTTATGTTAGGTCCATAATAACACCAACTCTTCCACATCACCTCCTTTATTAATCTAAATTTGCCCTCAAGGACAGCCCAGGGATCACCCATCAACTAACAGCACTGGGAGTCAGTCCCCTTCTCAAGAAAAGTAGCGTTGATTAAGAAACCCTGCTGGCAAGAGGTAAGTATGTGAGGGAAGACAACAGAGCTCAGCATCGTTTTAGTTTGGGAAATTTTAGTTGTTCAAATATTTTTTTCATCCCCAATCCTGCTTTTTTCCTTTTTTTATTTTAAAGTATCCACTTAACAGCGTCAATAATCTCAGGAGAAACATAAGTAAACCTAGACAGATAAAGACAAGAGCAGAATATCACGTTGGTTTTCTTTTGCATCAGATCCAGCATATAAAAAAATTGGGAGAAGGAGGGCAGGAATGAATACATTTCATAGAATAGCAGTATTTTGGTAGCTCTGCAATAGAATGCACCAGACTCTGCAGATAAACCAACAGGGCTATTTGCTCTTTGTAATGCAGTAATTAAGATCTGTGAACACAGGCTTAGGAATGTATCAACCTGCAAAACGAGCAGTAGCAGAAGATGAAGAAAACAGTATTAAGATTGAGCTTTTGCATACATTTATTTTGCTGGGAGTGCTAATCCAACTGAATTAAAAATGAAGCATAGCAGTTTGCAGATAAGATAGCCTGAAATGCATAGATGTGAAAGTGTCACTTACGGTAGCACTGCTTTCCATCGGCCCCCAGCTCGAAGCCGGGGTTACAGACACAGGTGAAGGATCCCAGAGTGTTCACACAACGATGAGCACACCTGGCTCTCCCTTCTGCACACTCATCAATGTCTACAAAGCAGAGAGAAAGGCAAAGACATTCATTTGGATATTAAAATAAAAAATAATATTGCTCTACACAGACATGGCTGTATTTCCAAACATATACTGAAAAGAGCATCCTGATGTTAGTCTACAAATGACAGCATCTGATGAATCCAGGAACACTGAACTCACAACATTATTCTCCAAAATAATCTTTTTTTCTAAACACCGTTGACCTTGAACCTCTCAGTGTGAATATTACAATATCAAACACTGTATTTACAGTATCAGCCAAAGCAACTTGTTTATTATTCCTGTTAAAAAAGCAATGGCAAAAGAAGTCACATGAAGAACTCAGAAGAAAGTCCTATCTCCCAGTACCCTAAAACTACCACTAGGTCCTCAATGCCTTTATATTTAAATTAATGGAGCAGGAAATAGCTGATTATTTTCTGAATGTCAAATGATTTGGATTAAGTGGTGGCTGGGTTTCAGCAGGTATGATGGAGACAGATGTTCTCTGTCACATCCCTGAATCCTGCAGCTTCTTCTACAGAAGTCCAGCAGGGAGGCACCTACTCCGATCAGAGGAGTTTCACCCCACCTGTAAGAAAAGAAAAAAGGTGAAGAGCTGTAGGTGGGGAGACTGTTCTTCACCCAGTCCTTTGTCAAGCAGTCTGCTCCTCAGCTTTACACTCGCTAGTCTGTATTTTGGAGTTAAATGTCACCAAAGGCACCCATCTTCCTAAAAACCTAGTGGAAGACCATGAAAATATTTTAAAGGAAGAGTAATTGGGAAAAAAAACAACAAAAGCTCACACTAAATACTGCTGCTGTGGAGCACAGCTGCAGAAAACACCAGCCTCCTTGCAAAGACTGGCATTATCTTAGACGTGGCAAACCCCTAACCGACCTCCTGCTCCTTCTCTTGTTCTGACATTTTGCTTGCAAAATACAGATTATTCATCGCAATGCTTATAGTTCAGTCTCTCGCACACAGGAGAGAGTAGTCTGGTGCGCATCTCCTCACCTTTTACCACAGGAAACCACTTCCTAACATGTTTTTTTTCCTCTATATGTGTTGTAACCAGTGCCGTATTCATGGCCCCTTGTACTTGAACACAAGTAGCTCTACGAATGCAATCAGCCTACTTGCAAAAAGAGGCCCCAGGCAGTGCAAAAACGACACACTGACTCATGAAAATTTCAGGATAAATGACAGCTTCTCTGAAGCAGCAATGTGAGTAGCTGCTGTTTAGAATAAAATGGGTTATTTCTCCTTTTTCTGTAATTAATTGCCACTTTGCAAGTAAAGTATGTTGGTGAATGCTGTAAATGTTCTTTTCTCTTTTTCTGCTTTTTCAAATAGAAAAATAACAAGTTGGAAAACTGAACCGCAGCCACCATCCTGCACATGTTTCTCCATATCTTGTAAATACAGCTAATAGCTAAAGTATGGCACTTTAGTTGCCTTCTGTCTCCTTCTAGTTCAGTTTCCAAAGACTCAAATACCAGCTTGAATTTTGCAAAAGACGTTGAATAATTTCTAGGAGAAAAAACAATAATTGTAAATCCATAGTAAGACATGATGCTTAATGATTCAAGACTGTTGCCATGAGGTCAGGAAGAAAATTTGTTCCAATAGATAACATTGCAAGTTACCTAGTGCTTTAGTTTATACATAAATTAACAGAATTGTCAACATGTATCCAAGATAAAATGAGTAACATGCTGACCCTAGTATTAAACCCATTGCTGTTTCCATCTATTAATCATCAGTGAAGTGTCTACACTACTTGAAAATACTTTGCTTTTTCAGTAACCTTACTCATGAGTAATCCCAGTAAGAGGGGAATCACTGAGGTGTGCAATGCTACTTGCAGAAGGGCTTACAGGCAACTGAGTAAAACACTCAGGGTAGGAAGTAAGTACTTTGCAAAGCACCCAGTACTCTGTATAGGTAAGACAAGAATTTAAGTATGGGCAAAATTTTGGCCAAGTTTTCAAGAGGAGTTGTTTAAAATTAGTGTCTGAATACATACCCTGATCCCGACAAGGCTGGTAAAAAATCTGTGCACCGTGAAGTCCACAGGTGCTTTGCACTTCATAAAACTAATGAACTATCTAGCTTCCAAGCATCACATTGAAAGAGAAAAGCAAGTATTTTGGTCTCTAATTCCCCCACATTTCAGGTCAGAAATGCTTTAGATCCTTTTGAAAATCCCAGACTAAATACAGGACTTTGGAATTCAACTTTTTAAGCTCCTCTCTTTGCAAGTCTTAGGCTTCATGATTTCTTCCTTCATAGTAGTTTCTCTATTAATACGGAAACAGTTCTCCAGCCAAAAAGCCCTTTGAATTCTAAATAGCTTTTCAGTGACCTGGTTCAGAGTGTTACTTGAACCAATTTTCCAGGAGCTGTATCTGGGGCATTATTTTAAAGGGACCCTACAAGAATAACACTACAGCATCTACAAATCCAGTTGCTGGAAAGCATGATTTAAGAGACCACAGAGTAATTTTCATTACTAAAATGGTCCTTCAAGACTATTGGCTGACATAAATATCACAGAGAGAAACGCTGTTTCAAAATGCATACATATTCCTTTCCTTTCAAAGCTCAGTAAGCCAGAGCACTGATTGATACCTTTCTTCACAGCAAATAGTCCATAGTTTCTTACCTAAACAGGACTTTTTGTTTGCAGAAAGATAATGCCCTGGATGACACTTGCATTTTGCAATTCCTCTCTCATTTTGACAGATTTGTGAGCATCCTCCACTCCCATTTGTGCAGGGGTCTATCACTGAAACCAATTAGAGCACACTGTCAACTTAAAGGTCACGTTTTTGTCTGTAAATGGTCTTACCTGCCATCGTTACAACTAGCAACGAAGATTACTGTAGCTGTAAGAGATTAGACTGGAAAAAAAAAATATTCGACAGAATTTGGTGTATAGTAAAGCCGTTGTTTTTCTGTGTGCTATTTTCTCTCTTGCTGGACAGCCTTTTTCATAGAGCACCAGCAATGCTTTAAACAGTGGGAAACTGGGCTCGTATTACACCTTGGATGTAGGACAAGAAAAGTACATTTTATCCTTTTTTTGCCGTAACTGAGCAGATTTCAAGAGTTGCTCTAAACAGTAGCAATTAGCACTCCAATATGTGTGAACCCACAAACACATACAACGGTGGAGTTCGCCGTGGAACAATGTGTGTTTAAAAGTCTCTAGAGGAAATAAATGCTGAAGAGCCCCAAAAGACCTCATTCAATCTAAAAACATATGCCATTCATGTTGTACATCAAGATTTTTTCTTTTTTTGAACAATAACATACCATTTTTCAAGGATAAGCCGGCTGTAAGTGGCAAGTACTTAGAAACGCTATTTATAAAGTGTCTGCAGAAGTCTCCACCTCAAAGATTTCACTGTGTTTTATGGGTTTATTTCAGAAACACGTACCTGCTGGAAGTGTACTGAAGTATTTGCCCAAATAAAAACTTTGCACACACAAAAATAGACCTAGTGGGACTGTTTGGACAGGTCTGATTTGAGTTAAGAGCCAGAGTTTTCATATCAAAATCTGGTATTCTGCCCAAGGTTGAGGTTTCATTTTGGAGTACTAGTTACACTAACGTGCTGGTGAATAACATTACATAGGCAAATTTGGAGGACGCCTTTGAAAATGTGTCCTCTAGAGTTCTTCTCAGTTTCAAATAAAGCTTTTTAAAATTTAAGCCTATTTCTGTACATATCAAGCTCTAATTCAGTTTTAGCATTTTACTAATTACTGTCTGATGTGAGACATTTGGCCAGTATTCCTCACTTGCCTCCAGCCTGACATCTCCTTCACTGGCCATCTCAAGCTCTGTACAAGCCAACTTCTACAGGGGCACCAGTAGGAAAGTCACCATCAGTTCAACAGCAACAGCAGTGGAGTCAGGGTTTTGGTAACCCTGGGGAACTGTTGAAGATGTCTTCCTCTAGACCTTGCTGCTTTTCTCTTCCAGTGGCTAACCACATACATACATAGAGCTATGCAGGAGAAGGGAATAGGAAAGACAGACCTCTATTTTATAGAGATACATTTAAATATGGGGTGGGGTTTTTTTAATTTCCTCCAATTTTCACTTTTCTGGATAGCCAGTGGCATTTTCTGCCACCATTCGGCAAAGGAGAACATTGCCCCAGAACACCTTCAAATTCCCTCGTTTCACCTCCTGGCATCTCAAGAACGTAACCATTCACGGCTGCAGGCTGAGAGTTTGACCTGACAGTATTTAAAAAAAAAAAAAAAAAAAAATCACTGTTAAGGATGTAGAACTGAAATTTTCTGTTGGACTTTCAACATGATAGGTTGCAAATAGGTTTCCAAGGGAGAGCAGCACTTCACCCTACGTGACACTCTCAAGGCTGACAACTTGGCTCTGCAGTTTGACAATTTCTGCTCTACAAAGGATTTAGCTTCAAGCAAGAACTCGTTCCTTGCCGATATGAAATACTGAGTTATTTGCTGATTCTTTTTGTATTTGGATATATTAAATGAAATCACTATCAAACAGCATGTTAAACCTGCATATTATAAAGGTTTTCAGATCATCTAAAGCTTTAATTTGAGAATGATTACAGCATACAGTAAAACTTGTGATAGTCTGTGACATGACAACAAGCAAACAACAAATTATAGGGTAGATGTTAGTAAAACATAGTAATTCGCATAAAGATAGCAGCCTTGGAAGTCCTTAGACAAGAGAAAAGTTTGTAAAGGGAAGATCTTCAGGACATAAGGCGACCACTGATTGACGTGTTTTCCACTGACATATCTGTTCCTTCCTGGTATAGGCAGGTTTCAGGAAAAGCTAAAAATAACTCATTAGTGTTCTTTTTCCTCCACATTTGGCTCTTATTGTTTGACTTAATAACTTTAGTGGATAACAGACTCCATCCTACGAAGCTCTATTCCAACACTAGTTAAACACTATGGCAAAAAATTTACTGGAATGGTTTCATTTTCTAGATGTCCTAGGACATCCAGGAACCTCATCTGAAAAAGCCATGGTGATGCATTGATCTAGGATGGCAGCAATGTTCTTGGTGAAGTGTGAATATGGGCTCTGCAGGTGCTGTGGACCTTCCAGACCTTCACTGCAGGGTTGTAAAGAACAGGGTCTCCAGTCCTATCTGCCATGACCTCTAGAGCATCTAAAGAAAGAACTGGGCCTTATCAAGTTAATTTTCTTGCTCACAGCAACCATGACTTTACACTAGGGAAAATATGAAGTGGTAAGGAGTAAAATTTCCTTCTCATGCAAGGAAGGTTAGGGGTGGAAATAGCATTAACTTATAGAAGGGAAGCTCAAAGTGGCTTGAGAAAGGTATTTGTTCTTACCATCCCTGGATAACCCAACAAGGAATTCACTCTAGCAGACATCTTATACAGCCCATTCTCTTGCACAAGTATCACAGCCACTGCTGACCACATCCATACATGCCTCACCCCCATCTCACCACTTTGATGCCACACCATCTCATCAGTTTGCCTCCATGCTGAAGGCTGCACCACCCTGCTAGGCTTGGGTGTTTCTGTACGGCCTTTCAGGGCTATGGGGTGCAGCATTACCTCCCAAGGAGTCAGCGAGGACGATTCCACACCTGCAGCACAGCTATGCCTGCTGTAGTAAATACCCTCATGATGCTGTAGTTTCTCCATCCAAACTAGCGCTACAGCAGCCATCCTTTCTGGTTGGAAATTGAAAGCAGCCAGGCTCACCTCCTCCCACCTTTTCTACTTAAAACATCTCTAATTGCCAACTCAAACGTATTCATGGCCACTTTATGCTCATTTGTTCCTGTAAAAATCTTGTCGATCGGTTTAACTAGCACTTTTGTCTCCCAGGTGTTTATTCACTAAGGTATTTATGGGAGAAAAGCATCCTACTTGGTCTTCATTTTGCCAGCTGAGCTCCCCTTGAGACAGATTCCCTTTCCTCTGACCACAGCTGTCCTCCTGGAGGTGTTGCGCTATTATATTTTGATTTACACCACCCTGAACACAGGTAACCAGGCATACACGTGAACTCCTAATAAGGTCTCACCCGCAGACAAAGCTGACCTTGCCCCTTCTCCACTGTTCAGTAATTACTGGCTGGTGATGAACTGCTGCCTTCGGTGGGTGGCTGACCCTCATCAGCCCCACCACGCGAGGGAGTGAATGGCCACAGCTGCCTGTGCAGCGGCAAAACCTCACCTATTAGGGGACCGAGCCTGCTCATTTTGCTGCTGAGTTGAGCCAGGGCACAAAGTGGCACATGAAGGTTTGAACTGCTCCATGACCACGACCACCCAAGGGACAACTCCCACCCGACCAGGCATCGCCACACTTAGACCCTGCCAATCCAACCTCTGTCCCACCACACCACTATTAAAAACACCAAAAACTTTTATGCAGGGGTCCACATGCCCAGCTGGCTTGGCCAAGGACATCTCAAGTGCCAGAGGCAGCGAAGGAGCCGTGAAAGGTTTGGAAACAGGCTGGAGAACAGCGGAGGAAGGTCTCTGACACCCTCTCCCCACTAACGCTCCTCTCTTCCAACTCTTTCTGACAATCTCAGGGACAAAACGTGGCCACCCCATGAGAGACGGAGAGGCGAGCTGGCTGCGGATGCTTGCTGAAGCGCAGCGTGTGCAGTCTCTGCGGAGGGCAGGACTCAGGGAGGCCAAAACCGAAGGCCAAGTGCTCGTTGCACACAGCATGAGTTGGAAGCAAGCTGAACAGCAGGATTTACTTACACTTTATACACAGCATATAAAATCTCCGAGCAGAAGAGGAGCCATATGGAAGCGGTTTTGTGACAGGAATTCTAGTGCAATAAATCCATAAATTTGGCCCTACCTTTCTCTGGCATATTCAAGGGTACCATGTGTGCGCGCTTGTGTTGGGGAAGGGGGAGGATTTGCCTTAAAAACTGATGAATATGTTAAGATATATGAGGAAAAAACCCAATAATCAAACCCAAAGGTAGCATTTCTGTTCTGCTTGTGAGAGTGTTTGCTTAGAAACCTGAAGGGGAGGATAAATGAATCAGACTGCGATTAGGAGCAACATAAGCCAAAAGCAGATAAAGAAAAGACTTTATGTAGAATAAAACATATTCTACAGGCCAACTCTATATACAACTTGGTAAGTAATAAAATATTAGAATTAAAACATTATTAAGTTCCTAACCTATGTCATCATCGTCAGTGTGCAACAAACAGCCAGGAGTCTATGAGGCCAAAATCTTGTTCAAAGTTGTGAACCAACATGAACTTCACACCTCAAACACGTGTCATTTTAATGCTGTTAATAAGCAATTCCTAAAGCTGCTTTTGGCAAGCAGGGTGAAATATGGATGAATACAGCGACCCAAAGCACCATCCTGGGTCTTTTAAATTGCCTTTAATGTGTGTCTCCAGGCAGGTAGTGCAGGACTTACCTTCACAGGATTTGGCATCCCTCTTCAGCTGGTAGCCTGGCTGGCACTGGCACTTGTATCGGTCTTCACTGAGCTGAACGCACTCCTGCTCACAGCCCCCCTTGTTAACACTGCAGTAATTGATGGCTGGAGCCAAGGAAACATTGAAGGAACACATGTCAACAACCCAAGAAACTTATTTCCTATTTTAAATACATAAATAACAGTAAAAATGCGCAAACCTTGCCGAACAGCTTTCATAAATGCACCTGTCCCCATCCCCTGTGTGATTACTCTCCCTTGCATTCATGGTGCTTGTTTGACACAGCGTCCCATGTCAGTGAAAGCCCGTGATTCCAGTGAGAGGCAGGTGAGATCTAAGAGCTGTAATGCTGACTGAAGTACAGCCACCCTTTGATCTGACAGCAGCAAAGCACTTGAGAATCTACTGAGGTAAGGAGGGAAATAAAAAAGAGTGGCCCCACTGGCACCTTCCCATTGTTTTTTTTCCTGTCCCTGCTATCGTTGATTTACCAAAAAAAAAAGACATTTTCTTTCAGGCTGATTTCCTCAACCTCATGCATAGGAAGCTGCAAATGACAGGAGTCACAAGCTCCACAGGACAGACTTACAAAGTAAACCACAAGGAACAAGAGGCTCTTTAGTACATCTCTAAAGATGCTTCTTCTTTTACCCAAACAAATTAATATTCGTTTTTGTTCAACATATATCCCCGGCCTCTGGAGAAACATTTCTCCTCCTGCCAAAATACGTTAACACACACCCACACCTATTCGCACACTGCATATAAAAATAAGATAGATCGTCTGAACCTGTTATTGTGCTGTACGTATGTAAGTGTGAGTGTGTGCATGACTGCATCTATATATATTTTAACAGCAGGGATATATTATGTTCTCCGTGAGTAGCTGGGAAGACTATTTGGTCCTTCATGGAAGGCATGAAACTCTGGACCCAATGAAGTCAGCAAAGAGCTTTGATATTTATTTTAGGAATATTAATATTAATTCATTTATCTGTAATAGACATTAAGAAAACATTAACCACAAAAGCTGCCTTAGGATGCATTTGACCTTATGCTACCAATTAGCAAATACTTAGTTTGTGCAGTCAAATCTGTGTTAAAAAGACAAAAAGAAAAGCAAATTTTTACATTATCATGGATGTATACACAGCAGTAGCCAGGAGACACCTCGCTGCACCCTGGACCTGACCCTGGCTTCTGATCTCCATGGGTGTCTGCAAACCTCCCGCCCGGTTAGTGATGTAACTTGAAAGCAGCTCGATTTCTACACGGGAGACAATGGACCCAATACACTCAAAGCTTCCTGCTTGCTGTACATTTGTATCCAAAGACCTGTTTTTCAGCAAGAATATTCAAATAAGATGAAAATATTTCAGAAAATGAAAAACGCCTTAAATCGGCTCCAAGCAATAGAATACACATCTCAATTTTTAAAAGTGCCATCTTCTCTCTCCTTTTCTGGGCATAAGCCAATTTGGATGTAAGGAGATAAGAAGCAACCTGCCGTACCAAGAATTTTGGAGGCTTCGAAGCCAGCAGGGGACGGACGTGAACTCCTGCGCTGAGAGCTTGCACTGGTGGGGCCTTGCAGCCTGGCCCTGCATGGGTCTCTGCCAGTGGCTGGGGAGCGAGGGATTACTCCAGAGCAGCCGCGGCCAGGTTTATCACCCCTGCTGCCGAGGCATCACACGGGCTACGTGAGGAGGTACCAGACTGAATGAGAAGAGTGCCGGGGAAGGAACAGGACAAATTATGCTTGTGCTGCCAGATGCCGGCAGCACATCTTTGATCAGAAAAAGGGAGAGACTTGGCATGTCATGAGTCTAATTCCACCTCTCGTAACGGGGCTTGTGGCTGGAGGTCTGAGCACGTGCCTGGGGTTCGGGCAGAAATATGGCATGCACTCCACTTTCAAAGATTTACTCTTGAAGTTTGGTAGAAAACCAGCCCCGCTGCTGAGTCCTGACAGGCACAGCGGTATGGGCCTGGCCCCGGCTCTTTGCCGGGATGTCTGGGGATAATGTCTGGCGATGCTGAGCGAGGGAGGCAGCATCGCAGGAAGGGGGACGGCGGTGGGAGGTACCCCACAGGAAAGACAAAGATCTGCTGATGGTTGAGAAATATACATTATTTTTTATAATAATGCTCATATTTTTACAAAAAAAACTGAGTATGAAGCCATAGTTGGATGCATACATGACAACCATGGGGTTAGAACATGCAGTCTCTCCAAGACTATGTTTTCCATCACCTTAAATCCAACCTTATCAATTACAAGAAATGTAACTTCAGACATACTGTGCTTTTACTTATGTGGAAAAACACAGATTATAGATTTGTAGAGATATTTTCTTTTGTTACTTCCTCTATTAAGAGCCTCAGTGTGCGAAAGTCTCCATAAAATCCCGCATCTCAACAGCTTTTCTGCATAAGGCAGACATCAAAGATAACAGCTGGCACCAGAGATGAATCAGGCTCTGAAGACTGTGCTCTGCTTTCACTTCCAGGAGTTCAAAAAAAGAATAAATTCCAATGAAGACAATGAATTTACATCAAGCCAAAAACACAGCCCGATACTACAATAAACATGTTCTCTGTCTGAGTTTCTGCTTTCCAGACACCAGTTGGTTAAACTTTAATGAAGTTAAATTCATTACATTAACATAATCAAGGCATTAAAAACAAAAAAAATTGGACAGTGTTACCTTTGGTTATTCTAATTACCTAATTTCTAGTGAACGTTCAGTCTGGCACATGTATCTAAATATGAATTCAATATGAACAAAATTTCTGAGACAAAAAAGCTAAGAAAGAGAAGGAGCATTGAAAAAGATGGGATTCTGGCATGGCACAAAGTATCAGAGATCATCAAAGGATTCAAGAAGAAAGCATTTTCTTTCACACACTAGTTATCACTGAACAAGACAACCCATTTTAGAGGTTGTTTGCCTTAGAGTACGAGCAGAAATTTCTAATGAGAGTAGGAGGAATGACAAACAACAAACAGATTTCTTCAAACCATGTATTTTGAGGATCGTACCAGTGGTGGAAGGATGAACCACCAGCAGTTAGTCAGGATCCCAAACACACTGTCATGATGTGGTAGGAGGACCGGACTCGCTGGAAAGAGCTTGTGACAGAAGTTCAGTAATCTTCCATGCAATCACATAAGAAAGTAGCTTATCCCAGGTTTTTGACTCTTCAGATGTAGGCTGAGTATCTTATAAGAAGATAGATCCACTTCCTTATGTATGGGAGACTTCCAAGCCATCTAGGCTGCAAAATCTGCTTCCCCTCAAGTGACGTTGGCCCTTTTGCTCCCAGAAACATAGGGTTGCCAAAAAGAAAAAGAAGACGTGGAAAGAATGAACATAACAGCAATCTGGACTGGGTTCATCTGAAAAGCCTGTCTGAAGGGATGCTTGTTTCTTATTTCTGCAGCTGAGATAATCACCTTCCATAAACAGTGCATTTCCAGAACGTAATCCCTTTTTATTCTTAGTACGTGGGAGAGATCGTTACATCCTCTAAAGTATCCAAGGAAGAAATATTATTGCTAATGCAAGCCCTACTTGAAACGCTAGATGTTCTGCTTAGCTGCACCAGGTCAGGAGAGAGGTGCATTATTCAGTTTACTTCTTGATCGGATGAGTGCTCAAAACTGAATGTATAAACCGGTGTAGCAGAAGAGGCAAACTCGCCATCCCTAACGGTCAGTGCAAGCAGTTAGTGCTAGGCACTCCTGGATTACTGGTTTATATGAAATGCTTCTCTCTGTCCTCATCAATTAGTAACTGTCTTGTGCTCCAATGCATGAGAGCTTATTATATCCATTTATTTTGGTGTCTTGTCTAAACAGCTGAAACAGAACTCAATATCCTCTGCTCAGTATTGTGTATATCCATTATCATGATAGCAGTTCTCTCTGAAACTTAATCCTGTCTCTCATCTTAGGATTTATTTCTGTTTCTCCTCGATAATTTCTGAGATACTGCAAACAGAACTGAACATTGTATTAAGTATTTTTAATAACTTCTTGTGAATACTTACATTTGTGAAATGAAAACTTATTTTCTGATAATATTTGTAGCTAGGACAAATCCAAACTGAGCTTCTTGATTATTTGTGCCATGAGAAAACTTTACTATTCTATGTCCACAGAAGGTTTTACATATTACACAGGTAAATTCATTTAATTGCCATAATACCTACTTTTTGCATTTATCATTCAGTTCTCTCGCTCTCTTCCCCCCAAAGCCACTTTAGTCCTTTTTTGTATAAAATTCCCTCTCCACCGCAGCTGAAAATGAGACTATTCAGAGAGAGTAACGTAACTCAAACATCACGTCTTTCACTTCTGGGTCTTCCCTGGTCAGATCTCAGAGAGATTAATTTCCCTCTTTTATTTCACAGAAAAACACTAGTGTTTCTAGTTCAGTATAAACCACTCTGCTTTTACGTTAATTTTTTCCCTTACGCTAGTGTTTCCTTGCCCATTCCTTCTCCAGCTAAGATAATCAAGAAAAGATTGAGACTTCACCATATTTTTAATTGCAGTTAATTACCAAAACACTGAAAGTCTCTGCATGTGGTAAACCCAACAAACCTAAAAGGGTAAGTTAAGTTCTTTAAATAAAAAACATTATTCTTGCAGCTTGAGCACTAATACATCTTATGTTCTAGTTGCATCAGTAAATTTATTGCTGTGATAATACCAGAAATGACTGATGACATATTTGGCTGATGTTAAGCACAACCAAGGGACTTTGTGCAAGAACCGAGACAATGACCAAACTGTGAGTGAACTTATTCCGCAGATGTGGTCCGACCATACTTAACTGTTCTTCTCATATTACCTAAAATCAGGCTTAAAAATTTAAACAAATGACGTCCTTTTCTTCTTCCCAAATGACAGAACATTTTAATCCTTTTTGCAGAATTCAACAAGTTGACTTTTGTACTGATTTAAATGCAACACAAGGACAGTATACTTACTATTATTATTAGCAACATGCAGAATTAACTCTGCATGTCTTGTTTCAGGGCTCAGAGTCCAATCTAAGAAACGCAGGCTTTATTTTTCATGGCAGAGCTGCTAATCCTCTCCACAAGCACATAAATGGGCATTGTGTCACGGGCTGAACTGCAGAGCTCCATGGTGCTCTCATTTACATAACCATGCATAGGGTAACGCCATACTATAAATCAGTGGCTTTTCACCCGAATCTGAAAAACAGGGCATAGCCTTTGGGATCATATCCACCCTCTTCCTACTGTTTTCTAATGCCTGTTTCTTGGAATGGGATTCCTCTGACAGTAGGTGTCTGTCAGTACAACTGCACGCATCGTTCAGATTAGCAGAGCAGTTGCCGAGGTGAGACCCGCAGCCAGCCCATGCTCTATTTTTAATGTCGGCAGAAAGGGAAACACATCTACAAGCGAGCATTCATGAATTGAAGATCTTCAATATGGGAGCTTTAAAACTAATTTAAAGAGAGGCAATCAGTTTGGTTTGCAACTTCTTTTGTTATTGGCTTTCATGTGTTGTCTTTTGCTTAGGCGTGCCACAGAGGAGTACAGCACGGGTTTTGCTGGCTGAGCAAGGGCAATTCGATATCAGTTGTAACAGAGATGTTACAAACAGGATTGCAGCGGATGAAGATGTATCCCTGATGTACAGGAGCAGTGCAACCTTTTAAAGACCGATGTAAATAAAGGAATGGATCAAAGGGCATAGGACTGCTGTGGGAACAAGGAGCTTTTGCAAATCTATAGCACCCTAATTATCAGCCCACAGCATGAGCAGAATCTCCGGAAAAGTGCTCAAAACTCTGAGCTTCACATGCATGGGCACCTCCTACGTGAGCTAAAAGGATTAGCACAAACTAAACATTCATGTAATATGCCTTGGAGGAGAGTTTTCAGCCCACCCCATCCATACTTCTTACTGTGCCTAATACCTACAATGTAAAACAGACCCAAGCAGACAGTTCTGCATTACTGTTTTACCTAAAAAATTCAATATACAGCAAAGGCTGAAGAGAAGAGATGAAGGAGAGGGCTTCTTCTCTTCATGCACTCTCTGAAAACCAGAGAAGACCTCTGAGTGCATACTTAAACATTTCATTAGCCTGTTAGAGCTCCCTCTCTAGCTACAAGTCCATACCACCATATTCTCAAATGTATCTTAGTAATACACAAATTTGGCCTCTGCTCTTGATCCTCCCAAGAGGATTTTCTGCTCTGCTCACTGTAGCACAGTCACAGAGATTTTACTTCATCATCTCACCCCTCGACCCACTCAATATCCTCCTGCCTCTGCCCATGCCACCACCTGGGAAAGCCTATGGGGTCCCAGTCTGGGCAGTCTGACCTAGATGGTAACCTACTGTAAGGTTAAATCCAACTTCAGGGTGGCAACCACAAGCTTTTATTTTGTCTTCATCACTGAAGACACAAGCTGCACTTTGGGACTGCTTGGTTGGAAGAGCAGAGTTGTGCCAGGCACCTGTGGGCAGGAGATTTCACTATCCTCTGTTTGTACCTCTTCAGAAAAAACAGGCAAAAAGACTAAGTAAGAGGAAGAGTAATGGGGGCAGAAAAGCCCAGGGCACGGCTGGAACATGGAGGGGGATGTGACACAAAAGAAGAATGCTCAGAATTGGAAAAACATTTTCACTGGAAATTAAGACCCCCTATTCCTTTAATGCCTGCTGCAAAACAGAAGAAATTTTCACAAGATTGCATCACCAAAACACGGGACACCATCACCGCTTTGTTCTCAAAAAAGGAACAAATTTGGAAACACCTGAATTCTTGCAAACTACTTGAACTGGAAGGGATACCGACATCCTTTATGAATTAGGCAAAACTCAGACTGGGGAAGTCTACAAACCTTTGCACTTAAGCAAAGACTAGTTTAGCAGAGAATAACACATCTTGAAGTACGTGAAGTGCTTTGTAATGTTTACTTACCTATGCAAGTGCGCCCATCAGCATGGAGCCTGTATCCCGCCCGGCACTGGCAGTGGAAGGAGCCATGTGTGTTGACACAGCCTTGCTGGCAGCCACCATTCACCACCGCACACTCGTCCACGTCTAGAGGGGGAAGGCAGATGACAAGAATTACAAGACAGCCTCAGCAAAGACGTACCCTGGTTCTCCTGGACGGTACGTAACTCATACATAATGCAACCACTACACTCAGACTGGGTTTTTGTTTACCTCTTTTCTGCGCTGTAAAGAGAGCAAATAAAATTGAAATTTTATGGTGTTTTTCAAAGTTCCTGCAGGCACTGCCTCTGTAGTCTCTACTTCTGAAGCCCTCGTTAATTAGAGTGATCCATGACACGGCTGTTTCCTCGGGGCCAAGAGAAAAATACAGGGAAAGAATTAGGGTAAGATAACACATCTGAGCTCATAGGTACCACTGGTCAAACATTTGGCTTTCGTAAAAATTTGCTGTGTGAAGATTTCCTTTTGCATCAGGCCTTTAATGCTAGCAGCAGGTGCTCGTGAGGGTACAAGCACATACAACTGACATAAATGGGAAAAAGCCATGCAAGAGCAGAGCCCATGTTTTCATTACATTTTCAACCACTGAATACACAGAGCTTAGGCATTACATTTAAAAAGAATGATGATTTTGTGCCACATTTTCTGTGACTCATCCCTTGAGCTTCCTTGTGTTCACCTGAACTTTCCATAGCATCTTCTCAGACGATCTCCCAGAAAAGTGCTGTGATTTCTTGATGATACCTTTTCCCAACCTAAGCAGGTATCTTTCCATATTATACATCTTAGGGGATTACATTGAATCAAATGAAGAGGAAAACTAGCATTAAACCAGCTTGAGAACACTGCTGTAATGTTTCATCTGAAAATGATGGACTATAATGGACAAAAAAGATCAAGAACAGTTTAAGCAAACAGGTGAAGGTTTAAAACAGACCCACAAAACTGAATTTCCAAAAGTACCACATAAGCAGTTTCTGCACCTTTTCAGCAACACTGGGCTACTGTAAATAGCATTTGATTGGCATGTTGACACCATTACCTTAAAATTTGACACAGAATTCATTGAAAATAACGGTCAGTTAGTCCATTCCCTGACAAAATTTCACCTGGTAGATGTTCGCCTAGAATTTTTCTGTCCTTTCCTTAACAGTCCCCAGGGATGGCAACTCCACGTCCCTCCATCTCACCCAGGGGCAATGCTGGTACCAAATTATCCTGACCACCGAAGACATTCTCCTCTTGCTGAAGTCAAACCTCCCTCCTGCAATAGGCATCTATAAAGAACCCCCTTTCAACATTAAAGACTCCCATTGATTTAAGTGCTCTTTAGATCATGTTCTCAAATCATCTAAGGGATTTACCCATCCAAACACACCCAAGTGGGTGTGGATGAGGAGACTGGGATTTAAAGAAATAAAAAAGTGACTGCAATGAGAGGCAAGTCTGCAATTGGTGCTGCGGGGAAGCGAGCTGGCAGTGGAGCAGAACACAGCAACACAAAGAGGTTTTTTTCCTGCCCTTCCCATATTGCACTTGAGGAACAAGGGGACTGACTTCCATATTTTTGCTGTTGATGTATCTGTTTTGCATTTAACTTTCATGGTTTACATTTTTTTTATGCTTTTATGTTTATTCCATTCTAGAAAATCTAATCAAAGTTAAATTAAAAAGGAAGTTTTAAAGACGACTTGGAAATGCACAGCGTCCTGGTCCTAAGGAAATATATTTATAAAGTTAAATTTTAATATTTCACATGTGAATTTCACCTACCTAAAATGAAGTCCTGGTGTTGACTAGTGTTTAAATTCAGACCATTTGCTAACGTGTGCCACTTTTTAATCCTTCTGCTATATTTGCTGTTTTATTAGACTGTATACTATGTGTATTTCCTACTGCCTGGAGACATCTGGAATACTCTTTTTTCAAACAGAAGTTTTGCTTTTTTTTAATGTAAACAACAAACAGAAAATGTTATTCATCTTACTGAATTCTATAGTGTTAAGAAATAGCCTGCTGAAAAATGCCAGGACAAAATCAAAACCAGGAAACGATTTGTCTTGAGTATCATAGAAATAAAATAAGCAAAAAGGCTCAGAAAAATATAACAAGGAAGCAGCTGAACTATATAGTACATCACATTCTAGTATTAAATATTAAATATTAATAGTATTAAGTATCAAATATCAAATACTGGGAGCTTCAATATACGAATTTTATAGGCTACAATCAGCTACAGAATTTCTCTAATATACCAAATACGGTTTTAAGTTAGGATATCAGCACTTACAAAGGAGAAAAAAATAGTCCAGCTAATAAAAACGTGCACTTGGAGTTAGCTCTACTTGTTAGTCTCTGTTTGAACGTTTAAAGAAGTGACTTGGTTTACAGGGAAGCCCCGCACCCAGCAGCACCTGCACCAGCTCCAGCTCTTCTTTCAATGGCATTTCCCTTGTGCTGGCACATCCCAAAAGGCCGTAAGGCAATTATATTGCTGAAAGGCAATATAATTAAATGAAAAATAAAAAACTCTAAAATACTTGTATATAGAGCTAATACCTAACCCCACCTCAAGACTCCCTGCCACAACTGGGGAAAAAAACAGAGGTGAGATCAACGAGCCTGCAGTGCAACTCCACGACCATCTTCCCAGGATGCCATGTGAGCGGCAAGTTTGATGACAGACAATTCCTTCTAGTCTCAGGCTTTCTCTGCAAGATCAATATTTTAAGGATTATTTGTTGAAAGATTCCTTCACATACTACAGATATAATCACAAGAAAAATGCAACACCCAGTTGCCTTTCAATGTCTCCTACTTCTCAAGGCCAGGAAACAACTTTGCCCCCAGTTACAGAAGAAAAATGCCTTAATTATTTTGTCTGGGGAGCAGTCTGCAAAGTAGACACTAATCTAAATGCATGAATT